GGCGATCTAGCTGTGATTTTGGGGAGTTTTTTCTTGAGGTTTTGAATATTTGGGTTTGGTGTTGGAGTTGGAGTTGGGCATCGCATCGCATCGCATCTAGCATAGCATCTAACATGCCGAGTACATAAGGGCCAATATACCACTGCTTACTGCTTTTCATACATGTCTATCATATTAAGGCACCCATCTGTACAGTAACAGCTGCACTGCACCTAAACCCCAGAACAGCACTAAACACTCATCTTCATCTTAATCGCCTTATGCGGCCGATACCCCAGCACCTCAAACTCCTCCTCCCTCCACCCATCCACGACCCCACTCCCCCGATCACCCCTCAAGATCCTCACCTCCGGAAACGCCGTCGGCTCCCTGGTCAGCTGCTCCTCCAACGCCTCCACATGATCCAAGTACACATGCGCATCGCCCAACGTATGCGTCAAACTGCCGGGCACAAGATCCACCGCAAACGCCAACATATGCGTCAACAGCGCATAGCTCGCAATGTTGAACGGCACCCCCAGCCCCATATCCGCCGACCGCTGATACAACAAACAGTGCAGATGGCCCTTGCCCTTCCCCGTGCCGTCCTCCGCAATCCCCCCCGGGTAGCTCACGTAGAACTGCGCGAACATGTGACACGGCGGCAGCGCCATCTTGGGGATGTCGGCCGGGTTCCACGCGCTCATGATGATCCGGCGGTCGAACGGCGTCTCCCGCAGCTTGCGCACCACCTCCGCCAGCTGGTCGACGCCCTGGCCCGTGTAGTCGGTGGTGGCGTCGACGTAGGGCGCCCCGAAGTGCCGCCACTGGAAGCCGTACACGGGGCCTAGATCGCCCTCGGCGCGGTGGGCGAGCCCCACGCTGTCTAGGAAGGCGCGGCTGCCGTTGCCGTCCCAGATCTTGATGCCCGCTTGCGACAGGGGCTGAGAGGAGGTGCAGCCGGAGATGAACCAGAGGAGTTCGGCCACGACCGCGCGCAGGAAGACTCGTTTGGTGGTTAGGAGGGGCAGGATGGGCGTGTATGTGGGTTCTTGTTCCTGTTCTTGTCCCGGGGTGGTGGAGGCGGATGGGGTGGCTTTGTGCAGGCGGAAGCGCATCTGGGGCGGCGCGAAGATCGAGCGCGTGCCGGTGCCTGTCCGGTCGGGCCGGTTCTCGCCTTCGGAGAGGATCGTGCGGATCAGGTTGAGGTATTGGTGTTCTTCGTGGGAGGGGTCGTGCGGTGGGTTGAGGGGAGGGGGAGGGGGAGGGGTGGTGGTGGTAGACGGGGGGTTAAGGGCGGGTTGAGGCGTGGGGGCGGATTCGGCGGAGGGTAGCATTTTGATGGTCTGTTGTTTTCTTGACATTTGATTGTTGAGGAATGAGGTGGTGGTTTGAGTAGGAGGAAAAGTGTATAGTTATGGAGATGGTGGTCGGCGGCGGGACGCGGTCGCGACGCGCCGCGAGATCACGTGGGCTTATTACCCGATTGGGGGTGTCTCTGTCTGCTGCTGTCACTGAGGACAAAGTACGGAGTAGTTACTAACTAACTATACTGCATCTAGTGTTGAAGACTGACTTCCTATTGTCTCGGACCTGAATGTACTGTACAGTCCACAAGAAGACAATTAAACCGAGCACAACTACCATCATGCCATCAACCGAGCCAATCCCCGAAACTCCCCCCTACTGTGTAGTCTAGCAATTGGACGCCCAGGACCTTCATGATATACAACAATAAACAATCCCATCGCTTCAATGTCATCCCTGCCATCCCCCAAACAATAACATTCAAAGTCAACCCACCATAGCATCGCAATAATCCAACCAAGAAACAACCCCCCCCCCCACCCCCTTAATCCACAACCTACACCTAAGCATAAACCCCTATCTCCAACCCAGTAACCACTCATACCCCCCCAGAGAACAAAATCAAAACACCCCCCAAAGCCAGCCCCCTGAACACGCCCTCCCACCACCACCAAAAGAACACGTGGACGCGCGGACCAACCTACAATCCATCCTCCCTTCCCCCCACCGTCCGTCCCAAATCTCGACCAGGATCACTAAGTAAGTAAGTAACTTAGTCAACTAACTTAGTATTTAGTTTCCCAGCCTACAAGGGCTGGGGCGGGGGTTTAACGATGCGTGGTTAGAATAAATCTGATGATGTGCGGAGTGAACCATGGTACTGGGTTCGGGTGGTTCTTCCACTATGGAGAGCGAAAGAGCGACAGGCAAGGCAAGGCACGAGGAATGGTCCGTGTGTTGGGTTTAGTGACTCTCTCAACTTAACTAACTTATAGTCTGTAAGTGAAAATTAAAATAGAAATAAAGAAAAAAAAAATTCTCCGAGGTTCTATGGTAATCTTCAGGTTTTCGGGTAAGTGCGGCTGGGCTCACCGCACGCACATTTGCATATGTCACCACCAGGAGCCAGGGACAGTGTGAAATTGGATTATCTTTTTTCTAGATTGAAGGTTAAGTTTGGGTTCAGGGGAGAAGGTAAAGTTGGGTTGTTTTTTTGTCGGTGCTGGAGGCGATTATTTGAATTCTGGGAGTAGAAGACTTCCCCCTCAACAACATCCAAATTACTTCATCTAAATCCTCACTTTTCTTCATGCTGATACTGTCCATATCCTGGTCGTGTAGCCTTGCGCTCCCCTCTCTGTTTGAATATGTTCCATACTACTCCCCCAATTGTTGTCACACCTCCCAGAAAGCGCCAAAGCCCTGCCGCAAGTAGAATGACAATTCCAAATCATTAATCTTCATCATAAATTAGCTGTGCTGTCGTCGATTCAATAAAGAGATCGTGCCACAGTCTCCCATAGCACGTCCAGGCGAGCCATTGAGGCAGAAAAACGAAAGTACACAAGAAGCCAAAGAAGTGGGCGGATGCATGCGTCCATCCGTTGCCTGAGAACAATGCCATTCACAATGCCATTCAGCCAACGTCATCGTCAAACCGGCCGATTTTCAAACCCAGCCCCAACCCCGTGGACAAAGGATAATGCTCTCCCGCAATCTGCTGCCCACCCCCATCCTCTCCCCCCACCAGAAGGAGAAAAAGAGATAAAACAGTATGCTGCTGTCCGGATCCGCCATCCGCCCCTATGGGCTGTTCCCCTCCCAACAATTTCGTTTCCCACAAAATAGAAATAAAAGAAAAGAGATTGTCGTCCGCCGAGTTTTCGTGTTGTACATGTTGGCGAGATTCGAGGAATTCGCTTCGGTCCGGGACGCGTCGTACACAACCAACGTATAGGGCGTAGCGACAGAGAATGAACACAGAAACCCAAAGCCGTCCCGAGATACGCCTATTTCCAGTATGCCCGTACGCACGACAGGAAGCCCTCTTCTAACGACCGGGCCCCCGAGGGTACCCTCCCGGCCTGGAAATTTGATTCCCCCCCTGGAAGTAGTTCACGGCCAATTCGGCGGCGTCTTCCCGGGCATTGTCGAGGTTCTTGCCATCGTACCAAAACCGAGCCTTGAATAACATGCCTTTGACGGTGACCGAGCTGGACCAGGCCGTGCGACCTCCTGCAATAAAGTGAACGGAACTGTCAGTCACTGGTACCACTTTCCAACGGCCAAAAGGACAAAAGTCGGTGAAGAGGGGGAAGAGGGGCTGGTAGGCATAAACATCGACTCCACTCTTTCTCTTCCTCGCTCTGTGCCGAAACGCACGTCTTCGAAGACAGTCAGGACGAACTGGAAGACAGTCTGCTTACCTCGACGATCGGAGACAATCACGAAATTCGGGCCAGGGACACCGCTCTCTTTGCAGTGATCTGGTTGCAGAGGGACCAGGGTTAGTTGATCGGATCAAAAGGCAATCGACGTAACTCCTGAGGGATTGCAGTAAAGTGGGGCATACCCTCCAGTCTCGCTTGCCATGTTTTCCCCTGGGATGGCGTAGTGTCCGGATACAAAGCATGGGCACCGGACATTGTGAAGAGTCTCGTCAGTCAATGGCTGGCGGCGGGTTTTTTTTCCCTTGCTGGCGGGACGGAGTGACAGGCACAAACCACAGTGGGCTTGGTTTCTGGGCTGCGTTGAGGCGGAGCAATTTCTTCTCTCTCACTCTCCGGACTACCTAACAAAAGCCAGCAGTCGTCCCGGTTCAATGCTGGATGTTGGGTCGGGCCTAAATGCAAAGCGCAACCGACAGGATAATTAAATTAATCGGGTTAGGTAGGGTCTTGTCCTGCTTGACAAGCACGAAACGGCCAGGAGATTCGACCCACGAACTCAATTGACGGTGGGGTCTTCAACAACCCAGATAGTGATAATGGAGAAACCAAACGAATATTATAAGCAATAAGAAATTTCTGCGGTGGCCCCTTCCAGGTGGTTCTTGCAGTGAGTTTCGGACTTCTTTTTATTTTCTAAAAACCATCGGGACAGTCCTCGAGGGATATGGGAAGCGGGGAGTCATATAAACTGTGGGCCATCCCTAAAAGCCCCAGAGGGGAGTTTCTGTGCAAGACAGTTTCGGCGTGTCAAACACGGCACCTAATCATCAAACCTAACAGACGGGCTTATGCATGTAGGGCAGGTAAACATGGCACGGCGTCAGCAAGTTCCCCCCCTCCATTACCCTCCACTCAAGGCACGTCAAGTAGCATGGAGAACCTGCGGATCATTCTGAGGCTGCAAGCTGGAACGGCCCGCCGCACGACGACTGAGAGTGTGCCCTTTGAAGAAACGCCAGAGACCAGGAAGGATGGCCGCTAGCCCCCACCCAAGCCCGATGCATCGACTGGCCAGCAATTGTAATCAGAGACAAAGACGGCATGTTGTACAAGGCAAGTATGTCAGTTCGCAGCCAGTTTGTTGGCCAACTCAGCAAGTCCGCAAGAAAGACCACCAACCCCTATCGACGTCGTGGCTCGCGGCTCTACTCCCGCTGCTAGGGGGAGGGGGGCATGCTGGTGCTGTTGCGCTTGCGCATTCACTCGCTTGCTCGCTCTTTCTTCTCGCATATCCTCCTCTCCGCTTCCGCAAGGGCATGGGAGAATATCGGGTATGAACAAGCCACTTCGCCTCATAGAAGCTCTTCAGGACAGGGACCCCCGTCCCTTCTGGAAGGAATACACTGGTGGAGGCCGGCCTGGTCTAGTTGCCCAAAAGCGGAGGGAAGCCCCATAGGACGGTCGAAGGACGAATGGAAGCCAGATGTCGGATTGAGGTAAACCTCCATTGGACCACTCAGCTAATTCGAAGCGGGCCCTCGGGGCCTGCTGCCAGCTCATCAACGATTTAATGATCTCATTCAATTCGGACCGAAAGCGTAGCCCCGATTCCATCCAGTCGTTACCTTCCCCTCAGCCCTAGAATCAAACGGTTACAGACCGGGCCGCTCTGCATGAGCTCATCCCTGGGGGGAAAGCCGGAAGCTGCAGACGCTAGGGTGACCAGGGCTTGCTCGCATGCTGTGACTATCGCGCGGTAAGTAAACCTTCACGGGTGACAGGGATTGCAGCCGAGAGAGAATCAAGAGTCAAGTCAGAATCAGTGTGAGCCAACCGCAGCTGGCTCGAAGTCCCGGGGAACGAAGAAAAATTATTGTCTGTATCTGCAGGAGACATCAGATGCCAGCGAAGAGGGAAGAGCATCGGGGTCTACTAGACCCAGACCAATTTTCACCAGCAACGCGAGTATGATTCGTTGCTTTCTTTCTGGCGCGTTAGTTGGGCATTCATACGTGTGCTTTCATTCGGCCCTTGTCGCATTTTCAGGTCATATCTGATTGTGATTCAAGATTTTTGTTTTTGTTTTTTTGAAGTCTGGCCCATGCGGCTGTTTTAGAATTAGAACCATGAAGCTAAAGAGAGGTAGGTGTCTCTTTCAATCTGCAACATGACAAGTAGATCGGCCTGTGCGAAAGCATGCCATAATGACAATGGGAAAAGAACCTGCACAAGCCAGCAAGAAAGCGACGAACCATTAGGCTAGGCGAGAAAGTAAGTAAGACGATTGATAGCTAGCTCGCTAGCTAGCCAGCCAGCCAGCCAGCGCTAAATGGAGAGAAAAGAATAGAGAGGAAGAGATGAAGAGGGGGGAAAGGAAGGAGAGAAACAAAGACAAAGACTGGTACGCTTCCGAGGCCCGGCGACAAAACAATCAATCAATCCATGGAAACAAACCTCGACTGGCCCCGCAACGGCCTCAGGCAATCTTGCTGCTACTCAGTAGAGTAGTTTTTTTTTTTTTTTTTTTTTTTTCCTTTCAGAAGCTTCTCCGAAATTTCCAACCTCATTGTACAGTACAGACCAGGGTTTTCAGGGACAGAGGGATAGGATAGATTTGGGCGCAATCCTCCTCCTCTCTCCACACCCCCATCCCCCTCCCCCTCCCTTAATGGAACACCGGGAAGCCAACAGTTTTGACGCAGGCAACTCCACCACACAGTTCCTTCACCTGCACGGCTAATCTTGGTCCAGACCGGGGTAGAAAACAAGTCAGGCAGAAACTCATCCATGGTAGTTCCATGCTCTCCACTTCCCCTCAGAAAGCGAGTGACAGCTTGCTCAAATTGACTTTCTTTCTTTTCCCATAGGTTCGTGGTACATGCATCATCCAAATGTGACTCGCGTAAGCGTCAGTCCACTAGATACACTCAGATTATCCCCAAAATAGTCTTAGTCGAAAGATAGCTATCAGCCTAGTCAGGCGAGGCTGAGAACTATGAACCAACCGATTTTCTACATACAGGCTAGACACTAGCAATATAAAATGCATTCATGCATGTGTGACCCTCCGGTTCCTGTTACACCTCATTAGACCCTAGATAGATAGACAGATAGACATCAGGCCGGACTGGGGTTCCGATTATCGCCCAACGCATCCATGTCTTCATTGACAAAAGCACCTGGTCAGGCCACCAATATGCAAGATGATGACCTTAAGGCCAGGCAAGAGGACGCCATGGCCAGGGTTCTTTCATTAAGTTCCTTAGATTCATTGAGGGGGAGAAGCCGACGCGTATATCCGAATGAAGGATCACCACGTCATATCACTGTCCAACTCGTCCCAGGCATTAGCTCAGGCGGATCCCCGTCGATGGAACACCTCATCAAGGAACCGCCTGGGACCCATGAGCTCGATGCTCTTCGACAACGTTGATCGCACGGGATGAATGAGTTGCGAATGCTTTTTCGAATGCCATTTCCGACGAATACAATCGTCTACTAGTGCCACCAGCCCGGTGGCAACAATCACACTGTGCACTAGTCAGCCTCAAACTCAAACATGGCAGAGGACCAGGAGGGATCCTTACTCGGCAACGTCAGGCATCTTCTCGTACACGGACGGATCGCTGATCCACATGGAGGACGGAGGAACCCATCCGCCCTTGCGCTCCTCCTCAACGGCTTCCATGGGAGCGAGGATTTCGGGTACGATATGGGCGACTGGCTTGGAGGTGCGCAGGTTGATCAGATGGTACGACGACTCCCGCAGGTCGCCCTCCCTCCGGTACTCCCGTCTCCATTGGTATCTCGTGGACCAATACTCAAACTCATATCGCTTCGATTGCCCAGCACCTCGTCGTCTCAGCTCTACATGAGCATAGTTGGAAAACTCCAACAATGTGCTCTCGGTGAGTACGGACTGATGGCGATCCATCCCAGTCTTGGTCTCTAACTGTTGGTCCGCCCACTCTTCCTCGTTGTCATCCGCTAACTTGTATCCTGAGTCCTGGCGCCTATGTTCCGCAACGGGTACAGATCCATGCCCACTCGACCCCGGCCGCAAGCTGGCCAACACGCTGCTCCACGACTTTCGAAAGACTGCATGCCGGTCGGACCCAGGCACCGGCCTCCTTTCCGAATGGCACACTTCTCGTCCCGAATCGCGACTGTAGCGACGGAATGAGTATTTTCGCGAAAACAGATCATACATACGGAGATGAAACAAGGTGACGTCTTGTTGGTACCCTCCGCGTTGCGGAACCATGGTGTCGACCCGCAGGTTCATGTTGCCATCCAGCGTCGCTTCGTCATGTCGGACCAGAAGCCGTCGTGACGAGGGGAACAATTGTCCAAAAGTAGACGGATTTGACGGGATGACATCCGGGGAGAAGATGTCCAATTTACGGTCGGTTACTTGGTAGCGCGGCGGTTCGGGAAGATCATCCACGGAGGGATTGGTGGACGTGTAGGTCGTAACCGAGGCCTTGGGGTCTTCCTCCCCATCAAAAGCCATCGTTACCCCCGTCATAGGAGTGGGTCGATCGCTGTAGATCGTAGGGGCCGTGCTTTTCGAACGGTCCGAGGCATCACTGTTGGTCGAACTTGAACTTCCGCCGGACTTTGGACCTCGCTGACAGGAGGATGTACTGTAGGAACCCATGGTGACGCTAGTAGAGTAATATTAGGATGATCGGCTAGGATAGGGTCGTAAAGGATAGAGCAAAGGAACCGGCTGAATGAATGTATGTGCAGGGGGTAGCGGTGGGAGTACGGGGCGTATAGTAATAGTAGTAGTGCCTTTTGGGTATCTGTTTTTTTTTTGTGTTTCAGCCGGACAACGCTGGTCGCGCTTCGATGCCCGAGTCAGAATCAGATTATAGCTCGGCTGTGACACTGAAACTCCCAATCACGGGGTAGTCTAGGGAGGATTTGCTGGGTATGCAGAAGGAAAACTCGAAAGACTAGCGAGGCAGAGCCTGTATGTATACTCACACCACAGCCGGAATCGATCTCGTGGTTCGAGATTGTTTGACTTCCAGCCGCACGTCCAGTCAACCCGACTCTCGTTTGCGCAGGGCTTACCAGACCGAAATGAGGCAGGCAAGTATCCCAAGCAGGGTAGAACTAAATGGTCATTTGGTAACAACAGCAGGCTGAAGGGACAGGCGGGAGAAAGCTGATAGGGAAAGTTTGGGATTGTAGGTTAGAGAATAACTTGGAAATAATAGTAACAATAAACACAGCGGTAAAGGAGAGGGTGTAAGAGGGGAATTTGTTCATTGATCCAGTCGCCGTCGCTTCAGTTCGTTTCCATCCGTCACAAAGAAAAAGAAAGGGCGGGCAGTGCGAGTCGGGCTCCAACTAACCCAAAACAAGTCTGGGAGGACGATCCGAGGGGCACGAAAGGAATGGATGGGTGGATGAATGGATGATGGGGGCATGAAAGGCATGGAAGGCATTGGGGGGGGATGGAGGGGGAGGAAAATGTGGAAGGGGGGCCGGAGATGGAACTGAGCATAGCAGATGACGCCAGGTCCGGAACTGAGTGTTTCATCGAGTAGCATACACGTTGGATAAGAAAAATTAAAAGAGAAAAAGCAAAAGGGGAAAAAGAAAAGGAGAGGCAGAAAAACAAAGAAAGACCGATTGGAGGGAGAAGGGCCGTCCGTGTGAGAGGGTAAGAGTCGGAAAGATGCCCAGTGCTGATGCGCGCGTGTTGTCAGATAAGTTAGTTGAATGGATGGATCAATGATTGAATGAATTGGGAAAAGAGGGGGAAGAGGAAAAGGTAGGAGAAGCAGCCACGTCGGCTCAGTAGGAAGTACTCCGTAGTGACGGTGAACACCAACAACTAAACAACTAACTCACTAACTAACCAACTAACGGAGTAACAACAACATTGACGACAACGACAACAACCCTTCCCGTGGCTTGATCGGGTGCTCTTGTCTCTGATTCTGCCTCATCGAAGTGAACGCACTATTTACCTACCTAGGTATGGCAGGCAGGGACTGTAACCCCCAACCAACTGGAGTTATGGCCGATTTACGTACGGGATTCCTCGCCCATCCGAGTCTTCTTTCTCTTTCCCGGTTCTGGTGGTGGTTATTTTTGAATTCGCGCACGTCCACCTCGTCAGCAAGAATGTGTCCCCATTACAGCCTCAAAGCCTTCATCTCCAAGCCCGGCTTCTACGCCTGAGCCGTGGCGAAGGGGGGAGGATACTACTCGTAGAGGGGATCAAGGCGTCCTCTCTCACAAGCACGACAATCCAACTCGGTTCATCCAATACGTGGTTCTCGGAAGAGGTCTTACCTCGATCGCTCTGCGATCGTCTCGTTCTAGAATCTCACTGATGGGCGATTAGTTTGCTACTGGCTGCGCTGCTCCCCCTCGGGCTAAGATGATCGCAGGTCAAGTGCCTACTAACTTACCTGCTACAGTGCACTGTACTGTTTACGATATTCTCCGGGCCTGTAGGATGAGCGAACGCGGAGGATTGCGGATGACCACCATCGCTGTCGCCTCCGGAGTTACAGGATCATCAGGTTGTGACGGAAGTCCTGAGCCGGCCCAGGTTGTTCATTGTCCCTGCAGGGAATCTGCGACTACTTGACCGTTTTCACACGCAAAGGGGCCTGCCTGTTCGTCAGGAAGTGGGGATGCAAGCGAGTGCCAGTGATCATTAGAGGCCACCCCTCCGACATCATTAGGGCTTTAAGCAAAGATGTGCATTGCAAACTGCCGTAGAAGGGAAGAGTAAGAGTGCCCTCGAGCTACGAAACAGTACCTAAAAGAATAGCATGCCAGTGCCAGGTAGTCCATACTTAACTTCGTATCGATGCCTAATCTTGATGACCCAACGATCGTTAGCCACGGTCCCATGGAACCCTGATGGGGAATAGCCGGATCGGACCGACTGCCTGTGCATCGAACTGTTCCCCGACTATCTACAACGGCACCACTTTTGACAATGTCATTGTACAGTGAGTATCTCTGGGGAAAATTCCCCAGAATGCAGAATCGAATGATGGACTTTTTCAACCCAGGGAGAATGCAGCTGGATGCTTGGTTGCACGGGGTTCTCGCGCATGGGAAATCAAATACGAGTGCCATCCTGGTTTCGGGAGACTGAGGGGAATCATCCAGCGGGGGGGGGAGCGGGAAAGGGTCAATGCCCTTGCCTCGCTTGTTTTGACTATGGCCTGATATTATCCCTCATTATACTGAGCTGCCGACCACTGCTATTGGAAACCATCTGCTTATTTTACCTATCATGACAGATAACAGATAACAACGTCAATAACCCAAGCAAATGGACATAGATATCTTTTCATGGTCCAACCACTCCACTATTTGACCGCGTTGCCTCTAGTCCCCCGGTTTCATCATATCAATAACCCGAGCCTGACAAGGAAATATCGGGCACAGCACGCGTCCCTTGCACCGCGCATCAAACCGCTCTACTCGTGAGGATGCACCATACAACAAAGTACGACAAGCTGGCCTATAACAATGCCATCGTATTTTCCTTGCCCACCCTCCATCAAATATCACACTTGAGTCTGGATCACATTCGACCCCGATCCCCGCCCTGCTGCTACTGCCCCGCAAAGAGCAAGAAACGGAGTACAGCTTCCCCCGACAACCATCATGTATCCTTACGTAGCATCAGGATGATTTTTTTCCGAGTATCATCATCATCGCCATCATCGCCAGCAGAAACCCTGGAACTCGACCTCCGACAACAAGCGCAACAGAGAACAAGATGCAGGCTAGGTAGATCATTCAAGCAGTGCCTAGCCATCTCCCTTGGTTTCTTGAACAAGAGCCTGATAAAAGTAGTAAGCATGGATAGTGCTGGTTTCTTGACGTCACGCATGGACATACAGTACACTGCATAGGCAGACGTCTACACAACCGGTTGAAATAACCTTCCCCCACTATGACCACTTCGGTAGGCTTAACTTCGGTAGTCCCGAGTCTTACCCACCTCCTATCTTACTTACTACACTATTTCCAACCACTAACCCAAGCAGCGTACATAGGTAAGCCGGGGGGGGGGAAAGCAAGCTTACTACCCTGTCAGCTGTCATGCCACCCAGACGGCTCTCCTCCTTCCCTCTAACCAAGAGTCTGCTTCATCGCAATTCCTTCCGTTCGCTGCATTGTGACCTGATGTCATCGTCTGGTCACGAAGGAAAGCATATCCCTCAGGCCATTGAGCGATACCTTACTTGGTGGTCGATGCTACCTGCAGCACTGCATTGTAAGCCTACGTACAGTCTACATTGCTCCACTTCCACTGACTACTGGGTGGAACTGGGGGGTGCTGGGGCAATGAGCGCAACGTGCATTGCATCCTCATGAATTCTCGCCTGCAGTGTTAAACCCCATAGAGGAGGAGCTTCGGTCAAGGGTGCATTTATCGAGGGTAGCGTGACTACCCAAGGCAGCTGAGTTGGGATTCAGACCGAGGCTCCTTCGGTCTCGTAGAGAAAGACACCGGCATAATTAAGTTGTCCTATGGAGAAGAGGCCTGGTGATGATGATGTCCGTTTGCTTTTTGTCGGTCAGCAGTTGGGGAAGTGGGCCATAATTATTCCAGGATCTGTGTTGATGACACATTCGAATGCTTGGGCGGATCTCTGGGCGTGTCCCTTTCTTTGGCTTTTGCTACAGCTGCTCCTTCAAGGATACGGGTAGTCTTGCTCCTAATGTTGACCGCGGCATATGTGCTCCACGCTGTGCTTCCAATGTCCCATATTGAAGCGAGTGCTCGCGAGGGTGTCTAAGACCATCGAGAACCCTCCAATGAGTATACATCAGGCGAGGCGTGGTCGCAAACGTCCCGTGGCGCTTGCTGATGGCGAAAAGTGGAATAAATCGTTTGAACTTACACGACTATTACAAAAGTTGTTACACTTTGCCCAGAACCAACCTATCTACAGCAGCTTCACCCGGAAGGTCTAGATCGTACAGCTCAAGCCCACGCTATAAATCTAAGAGAGACTGATCCCGACCAGAGAATTCTGATCATTTCAAGTTCGTTGACCTCCATCCCCGAATCATCTACACCAGGCCTTAAACCTGGGCCCACAGCGGTTGCGGAAGTTCATCTCCAGGCTGAATCATCGCTTCGCGGCGGCAGCTTCCTCCGGCCGTTTGGTGTGCAAACTCGGGACGGGTGGATGGGGCCGGCGGACGGAAGCCAACATAAGCTTCACGACGCGCTGGTTCACCCACAGTGACCGACCACGTGTGCAACCCATAATAAGATGCAATCGAGTGGACCAGCCAGCGGCTATTCAAGACACACGTTAGCAAGGGCTTGCTCAGCAAGATTCTTCGACAGTTGGCATCAAGCTTACCCAAACCCAGCACCCCGATCATCGACCGGGCTCTCGAACACCATCTTCTCGCCGTCGCGCTCGTTGTGAGCGTTCATCGCTTCTCGCATCTGCTGCAACTTCGCTTTCCGTTGAGGTGAATCATGCATCAGCCCATTACGACCCACGAACACGACCTCATCCTCAGAGTCATCCTCATCGGACGACTGAGGAGCATCGGTCAGCCCCTCCTTCTGGAGAAGAAGCTGCTTTTCGCTCCATCGCTGGATAAACTGTCTGATGTCTTCTTCCAGGTCTTGGAGCATACCGCGAGCGCCACGTGCGTGCTTGAGCTTCATGCGCAGCTCCTTCGGTACGCGGTGTTTCTCGTTCCCCGTGCCAGCGCCCGCCTGCTTCGAATTTTGGTCCAATTGCGCATAATGGGAATCCCACAAGGGCGCAAGATAGTATGGCATGGGGTTGTGTCGGGTGTAGGTCGGCTGGATATTCCAGTCTTTAGAAGAGGGCGGCTCAGCCCAGGGATTGTGCAGGAGACGATCTGATTTCAGAAGCGGTTAGTGAATCTGATATATCCACTAGCTGACGGCGGCGAATGAAGTCTAGCGCAGGACGTCCAAGCAATGCAGCTGCAATTAAGGGGGACCGACCGTTTTCCCAACGTTGTCTGCGACGGCTGCCATCCTTCCCCTTTAGGAGAGCCTCGCGCCTCTTGAGACTGTCGCGTCGCAAGGGTTCTCGACGACGGAAGCTGACCGACGCCACCTGTTGAACATCCTTTGAGGGTTGACCGAGAAGCTTGACGCGAGCCGCAGACGCACTTTCTGTTCTCGGTGCTGGGTCATCCAAAGGAATCGACAGAGATACCGTGGTCCCGCGAAAAGATGTCCGCGTCGGTGTAGATTGCGACAACGAGACAACTCGATCGCTGGACAAGACCGGCTCCGAGATGGTCAAATTTTCCAGAGAGACGGCAGCCTGTTCTGTCCAAATCGAGATGGCGCGGGCCTGCTGTGGCGACAGGTTGCCTCTTGGGTCTGCCTCAGACGGGAAACCGGGGTGAATCGCCATCGCGGGAGCGCAACGCGGTTCAATCAGATCGCGAGAGCGGCCGAAAATGGTACGATGGACGTAGAGCAGACGGCGGAAGGCTCAGCACACGAAGGGCGTCGCAGCCTTGGGCGGATGATATCTGCTAGACTGACCAACACCGAGGAAGGAAATGCAGCAGCGACAGTAGGTAGAAGGACGAACGAGTAAGCGTCAAGGGGAAGAGGGGAGAGGAGAGAGCGGGGAGGCGAAGGGGAAGGACAAGCAAGATAAGAGAGATAGATAACCGACAACTGCGATTCCCGGTCGCGTCCGCGTCCGGGGGGGGGCGAGCAATTGAGTTCCGTACGGTAAAATACTATGGGTAGGTAAGCCGCCGAGAATTTTTCGAAGTCAATCATCCGTCCATGGACCTCCCTCTGATGGGACACGAGAAGCATCAGATGAAGGCCATTGGAGGAGATTGAGTTCAACCCTAGCCCTACCTGCCACTTCAGGTTTGGCCTCAGGACTGCAATCATGGATGACTCACAGTGACTGACTTGGGAGTCACTGGGTGATGTAATGGATGTAAACGGCAAATTCAATAAATGAGAACTGGACCCGTCTTATGCTGCCTAGAGCCCAGGTGTCTCAGGTGGGTGATTCCCTTGGTGAGAAGTGCTGGGATTGCGGAGTTCATGGAGCTTGATCTACGGTACATATTGAGTTACCTGTACTCAGTATGAGTACGAGTACTCACTAACCTTATCGAGTGATTTCTGCAGTACAAAGACACACTCGACAGTCAGGGCACAGTAACCCTAACCAGTAAGTTATACAGAGAGACCCTGACATAAACTATTTGTTTGCTCTTAATGCGTCCCAAATCTCCATCGGTGAATTGACAATAGAGGTACCTAGCTTACTCTACATCCAGCATACTGCTCAATGCTCGACATTGTGACGTTAATCAAACGAGAGAAGTGGCCGGGTACATTGGAGTTCTGTCTGTACAGAGGGAAGGATAGAATCACGAGCTCTCCATCACGGTTTAGATTATAGCCATGCGTGAGTCGAACAGCAATGAACGTACCATTATATGGCTACGTTGCAAGGTTTCCCGAAAGATTGAGGCCTTTAGTAACGATCAAACTGGATCTTCTCATATAGTCAAAAGCGACAAGGGTTTCCCTAATATCTTGTGCAATTCTCTAAATCATACAGCACGCTTTCGGCCAGAACAAATCGCATGAACTGCCATCTTCCATCTGCAAAAACCGGAATGGTCGTTCATCGGGTAATGTCTTATGCTTGTCCGTAGAGCCATGAGGTCCCACAGTCCCACCTCGAATGCTGGTCCTGATAAGCTTCCATTACAACTCGTAGCACTATCCTATCCATAAGTCTGATGGGCCAACAACCTCTTCTTATTCTCCCTCTCGTGACTAGACTATAGATTGCCTGCTGACGGTTTATGCTTGGGACCTGAACGACCTGGAGTCACGCTCCATTACCTAATATATGACTCAGCTAGGTGATGACTTCACATGATCTCACTTGTTGTTCACTGTATCGCTCAATCTTCCAGGCACACTGGTTATAGACTCTGGGGTGGTCTCACACAGCCTCGGATCACCATGAGAAGCGATCCTAGCCTCTGCCTAAATGCCAAGTGCCAATGCAAATCACCCATACCTTGGAAATCCAACCCCACTAGGCGGCTAGTGTGGTCCCTGTCTCATCCTCCTAGGCTCCTAGAGAGCGCGAATGATTTAGACTGCCATGATGCTAGTAGGAGTCAATCAATGAAGAAGGTCAGGTGGTTGCTGGAAACCTTAGTTCTGCCAAGTCGTACCAACATGAACTCAAGTGTAGTCTCGCCCAACCCGTGTGGATGTTGTGCCTGGCAATCTTATTTAAGCAGCTTTCGTCACTGACGCAACTTGGCGGGAGGGGAGCACTTAAGGTACCTTACTCCATCACCTCCACCTCTTCTGTTGCTCCGCTGCAACATCGTCGCTATCATTTATCCGCTTCATTCAAGCACGATTTTGAAAGGTTCTTTAAGTAGTAAAGCGGAACCTCTGCTCACTTCTTGCATTGTCCCCTTAATACCTCTCCCATCACCATCCTAACGCTGCTCGGGTGGCCTTTATCCCCGACGACTCCTTACGGTCGTGCTTATCATTAATCGTCAATCGCCTGTCACTCCCTTCTTCCAAATCACTCAGCCGTAAAATTGTTCCTCATCATCGCACCTGCTTGCTTTGATCTACCGTCAGATCGCCATGAAGCTTACCGCAACCCTTGCGCTAGGCGTGACAGCTTCTACAGCCGTATTGGGGGCTGTGCTACCGCAGCAAGAACCATTAACAGAACACAGCGTTCACCACGGGCAAGAACTTTATTTGATCGAGCTTGCTCCTTATGAGACAAGATGGGTGACAGAGGAAGAGAAATGGGATCTAAAATTGGTAAGACAATCCGCTTGAGACCTATTACACAAATGTCCCGCCCACTCCCTTATGCCTTCCGATCACTAACCGCTCTCCTCGACGCTCGGTCTAGGATGGTGTAAACTTCATCGATATCACCGCTGAGCGAAACACTGGCTTCTACCCCACACTGAACGCCGGCAGCTATGTCCACTACCCGGTGCAGATGGAACACTCGGAAGAGGTTGCCCCACTCCTCCGCAATCTATCCAAGGATAACATGGAGAAGAATCTGGAGCATTTCACTTCGTTCCATACTCGTTACTATCGGTCAGCGACCGGCGTCGAGTCAGCGACGTGGCTTTACAACCAGGTCCTTGATGTGATCAAGGAGACGGGCGCCTCAAAGCATGGCGCGACCGTGGAACAGTTTTCCCACCCCTGGGGTCAATTCAGTATCATCGCTCGAGTTCCAGGGCAGACAAACAAGACCGTTGTATTGGGTGCTCATCAGGACAGCATCAATCTGTTCCTCCCGTCGATTCTGGCGGCGCCTGGTGCGGATGATGATGGAAGTGGTACCGTTACGATTCTTGAAGGCTTGCGGGGTCTGCTGCAGTCAGACACCGTTGCCCAAGGTAAAGCCCCAAACACAGTGGAGTTTCACTGGTACTCGGCGGAGGAAGGTGGTATGCTAGGCTCCCAGGCTATTTTCTCCCAATACAAGAAGGATAAGCGGGATGTCAAGGCCATGCTCCAGCAGGATATGACCGGATACATTCAGGGGTCGTTTGATGCGGGCCGCAAGGAAGCTATCGGAATCATGGTCGACTACGTCGATCGGGGGCTGACGCAATTCCTGAGAGATGTCATTAAAGAGGTAAGGCTGAAGCACCTCGCCACAGACATTGGAGCGGTCGCTAACATGCCCCTGAGCAGTACTGCAAGATCGGACATATCGAGACCAAGTGCGGCTATGCTTGTTCTGACCACACATCGGCGAGCAAGTACGGGTTCCCTTCTGCAATGGCAACTGAGTCTGAGATGGAGACCAGCAACAAGAAGATTCATACCACCGATGATCGAGTCAAGTATCTGAGTTTCGATCACATGCTGGAGCATGCGAGGTTGACCGTAGGCTTTTCCTACGAACTGGCTTTTGCTCCGCTCTGATACCCTTCAAGATGGTACCCATATTCACTTGTTGGCAGATATAGATGATAGTATCTGAAAGCTAGATTCTTTGATTTGTTGCGTTGAATCCCATGTTGCTAAAGTGACTTGTATTGTGACCATCTTTGCGTAACTTGAACTGGCTATAGACCTCGAATGATATCAGTTCTTGATTCGGTTCTTGGTTAAGACAAGTTTTAACCATGTCACTCCATTGACTTACTCGTAGCCATCAGTTCTAACCCAGCATAAATTCATCAGTCTTCTTCACGTTCCGCGCGCGGGAGAGTATGGCTGTTGAGGTACGATAAGATAAGAACAAGAACGACTGCTGGCTAGCACTGCAGACGGATTCTCCACCAAGCCCGAAGCAGACCCGGGTTAACCCAAAGGAGAAGAGTAGTCCTCTCCGCCAGGCCAGGCGATCACTGACTTGGCTTGCAGTGCAGAAGAAATCATTAATCCTTCAAAATTCCCACTCCGTTTTCGTCGGAGTCATAATTCCTTTTCTCGCCTCCGAGCCCTTCTTCTTGCAGGCAAGATAAATTCCCTCTTTCTCCTGCTTTTTCATCACTTCTTGCTTGCCTCCCAAGGTTTCCCAGCTCACGATAACCATTTTGCTCTACGTCACCGGGCGCCCCTCTCCGACGAACAAGACCCCACACCGGGTTTCAGTCCCTGCGTGCACCTGAGTACGAGGCGGTCGCGATCCCCCCCCCCCCTCTCTCACCGTTATTGCTCGACGTTCTTTCCTTTCTTCGATCGGACTCAAGTGGTTTCAGATACAAATCAATTCCTGCACCAGCCTGTTGGCGACGCTCTCTATACCTTCTTGCAGCCCCTGAAAAGCTCACCCTTTCGAAACGCACACTACACGCTACCTCATCATGGACGCCTCCATTCCCTACTCGAAAGAACTGCAATTGGCCTGTCTGACAGTGCAGAGAGCTACTCTAGCGACCAAAAAGCTACTCGAAGCTGTCGACAAAGGGTCGTTCGACAAGAGTGATTCTACCCCTGTCACCATCGCCGACTTTGCTGCCCAAGCATTAATCATCGCCGCTATTCATCATGCCTTCCCCAATGACGTGTTTGTTGGTGAGGAAAGCGCGAGTGCCCTGCGATCCGACCCCGCCCTCCTCGAGCGAACGTGGGAGCTGGTCGCTTCTACTCGATTGACCGACGAGGAAAGCGATTCGCAGCTCTATACTCCCAAGACAAAGGAGGAAATGTTGGATATCATCGATTTGGGGGCCCAGGGTACATGCGGCTCGCAGAATCGTGCCTGGGTGTTGGATCCAGTGGATGGGACGGCGACCTTCATTCAAGGTCAGCAGTACGCCGTCTGCCTGTGTCTGCTGGAAAATGGACGCCAGAAGGTTGGTGTTCTGGGCTGCCCAAATGTGAATCTGGAGAAGGGATACATCCACGAGGATATAGTAGATCGAGAAGGTTATGGGCATCAGGTATTCGCCGTTGCTGGTCACGGCGCGTACATGAGAAAGATGGACACGGGCGTTCTCCTCCCTGCCCACAAGCTCGAGCCTAAACCTGCCATCACAGACCCCAAGGACCTTGTCTTTGTCGATTGTGCGGGTGGATCATCGGATATCAACGTACATGCCCGCCTTGCATCTCACCTGGGCGCCCCTTGGCCGCCTAAGACAGACCTCTGGGCGACCCAGTTGCGATACATCGCGGTTGCGGTTGGAGGGTGCAATGCTTCCATGAAGATCCCACGCAAGGCTTCTTATCGGTCAAAGATCTGGGACCATGCGGGCGGGATGTTGATTGTCGAAGAGGTTGGCTGCGTTGTCAGCGACCTTGCTGGTCGTCCGGTTGACTGCAGCCTCGGGCGCACTTTGGCGGGATGTCACGGGATGATTGTTGCGCCTTCGTCTATCCACCAACGGTTTGTGGACGCTGTGCAACAGATCATGTAAGACAAGGCAAGGTTGCTTAGTGGCCAGAATCGCAAGGAGTGAATTGTGAGACAGCACCGTGGAACCTCTTTCGATTGCTGCTCATGGCAGACTCATATCTTTAGCATTCGAAGGGGACTAAGGGAAGACACAAGTGGTGATTATCTAGATGCTCTCGGTGGTATACAATCATACACCCCAGACAGAGGTTATCCAGAGCAGTCTGTTGGCAAGTCCACGTGCATTGCGGGTGGGCTGAAATGCAAGATGACGTGCCAATGAAGGAGGCAACCGGTGAAGCCAGCTTGAAAAAGTGGCATTGGTTGGAAGGAAACCCTCAAGCAGTCCAGCTGCAGGCGCTTACAGGACCGTGCACCGATCGACAGCGTGGAGACGTCAATCAGCCCTTTGAGAGAGAGTGGTGAAAAGAGCAGCCTAGCGAAGTTTCCAGTGGATGTTGGCTGAAGGAAGGGGTGGGGAGAGTGAAAACAGGGTTCTGGCTATAGTATCGTCTCTTCCTACATTTTACTTAGCTGAGTGAGTGTCAGAGAATGAGAGAGAAGTTGAGAGTCCAGACCGGATGATGTCATCCCCGAATGCATACATTTAATCCCTCCTCCGGCTTAACAACAAGAAGCAGTAGGCGCAGTCGAAGTGGTCTCGTAGCAGCGGTGAAGTAGAGGAAATTCAATTCCAATAAGGAGGAACTCGATCAGCGTTGTGTGTGGGCAGGGGAACAGTTCATTGAAAATAGTATTTGGTGGCTGTTGTTGGCCTGTCCTGTCAGGTCAGAAAATCAGGCAATGCGGGGTGCAGCCGCCGTGACGATGACGGGATGACGACCGTTCCCAAGTAATTGTTCTTTTCTTTCACTTATTATTCCTCTTCTCATCCCCCTTCTATTCTCCTTCAGGTCTCGACTCCTGTTCCTCCTCATCCGTCTGTACTGTATCGATCATTCTCGTCGCGGTCCTGTAATTCAACATGGCTCCTTGTGAGTAATACTTGACCTTCCTCGCTGTACTTGGCTATGCATAGGTACCATTACTGACTACTTTGGACCCAATCCAGATAATCCATTCGCCAGACATGAGTCCCATAGCCGGTCGACCTTGACTGCCTACCGCATTCTCGTTCCTTTGTCCTGGTTGCTGGTGTTGATTGTCGGCATCTACTATTCCTCCAACTCGCCCGATGATGTGAAGCATGGCCATTCTATTTGGAAGCAAGCCAACAAGCATATCACTGCCTTCAGCTTGAGTACTATCATCACACGCATCTACTGGTGAGTTTCCACCCCGGCGTCGGCAGCTGACTTTCTATTAACACCTTATGTTCCTTCAGGGTCATCCTTCTTATCTCTCAGGTCGGCTACGTCTATCATCTCTTTTCGAGGGATGCTGTGCTGGTTACCGGCGCAGCGAACGTGGGAACCCACTTCATTCTCAACAACCTGTTCACCTTTGCCTGGATTCTTCTGTGGACCCGCAGCCATTTCTGGGGAGCGGAAATCATCCTGATTGCGCACTTCATCAACCAACATGCGACGTACTGGCGCCACCGCACCCTGAGCCCGCTTGCTCACCTGTCCGCTGTCGCGGCTCCCTTCTCCTGGACCCTCATCGCGCTATTCTGGAACGGAGCCGTTGCTGTCAACAGCAACAGCCTGCCCGCTAGGATCGTCGCAAACATCTTCATCTGGGTGCTGTTCGCCGTGGGATCCGGTCATATCCTCGTTGCGCAGGATGACCTCCTCGGTTATAGTTTGAGTCTGCTGACGCTTGGTAAGTGATACATAATCGCCTGGTCCAGACGTGATAACCATGCTAATTCATGGTTTACAGCACTTGCGGTCAAGCAGGTTGGTGTCAAGGTGATCTCGTTGCAGTGGATCTTCGCCATCGTTATTTTCGCCATCTTCTTCGTGGAATCCCTCTACATCTCCATGACCAAGTACACCGGCCGCAATGTGCTGCTCCGTAGAACTGGAGAGTCCGGTACCACTGACCGTGAAAGAGAGCCTCTCCTTAACGAGCCCACGGCCTGAATATAGGTGCTGTCCACCTGTGTTCCAATGTCATCAGGAACACTCGCTGGCCTGTAGTGCTGGCCGTGGTCAAAATGGAGTTGTCATCGAAAAAAAGAGATGTTTCGCGCAGATGGTGTTTCTCTTCCACTTCTACGCCACTTTTGTGGTCCCCTTAAACGGATGTGGTTCATGATGGGGTCGGGTGTTGTAATGTTGACTATGGTCAGATGTCTATTGTTTCTCTAGTGGATCTTCCCTCCCATGTACATTTGTTAGCAGTTGTAGCATGGCGTTTCTTTTTCCATGGGTCCGCTGGGTGAGTTTGTCTCGGTTCGGTCGATCTGTCCCCACTGTATCCTCTCTTTAGTCTCAAATTGAAAGTGATTCGGTAATGATAATTGCTGAGGAATTTCGATATCCTTCGGAAACACTGTTTGACGGTTGAGTCGTTGGGTTTTAAGATTATGTGCTCCACCGCGTGCCTGAGGAACCAAGAGCCCGTGCGGCTTGGTTTCCATTGTTTGTACGAGCGCCGGAACGACAGGAACATAAAAGTAAATGACACAATTGCATCCCTTTTAAGGTTGAATTTAACTCCATGTACAGAAGAATCCTTACAGGTTCCTAAAGGTTCCTACTAAGTCTACGGTACCAGCCAATATGTTTCTAAGCTGCAAGGATTGTTGCCCCGCCCGTTTCCCCAAGCTCTCTGGTTGCCCTGGTGACAACCACCTTCTCCACGGTGTGCCGGTCGTAGCGCCCGGATCGCGACTGGGTTTAGGCGCCCATGACCTTGCCCGGTCTCTTAAGAGGAGGAGCACACGGCTGACACGTTATGGTCTTGTTTGCTTGCTGCCGTGGGTCGGTGTTGAAGAAATGAGTTTCTGAAGACCGTGGGATCGTTGTTTACACCGTTGTGCGTCTCCCTCCTATTCAACACTCCATCCGAGGGTTCCCACATACTTTAATCGCACGATCTTGTCAGACGCATTCCTGGTAATTTCCCAAAGCATACTGGGGACTGTGTGGGCTCGGTAACCAGCTAAACCTATTGGCTGTTACTTACTGTGAGTGCTCTGTCTATTGTTCTCCGGCTGCTTGCCGAGATGGATGGGAGAAGACGAGGCTAATTTGTATGCCATCTTCTCTAGCAGCCGAATAGGCAGAATCGTGCTCCGACTTCCTAGAACGATAGACCCGAGGACCCATCACATTGGGCACGTGCATTAGACGAGACAACCCGAAGGATCGGCCGTATCGCTGCAATTGGCTGGTGGATAGATACTATGAACAATTGAACGTGTGGGACGGAGTATCACGATGTCGCAGCGCTATATACCGGCACGGAGCCAGGAGGAAGAGCCACCGGCCTACGGATCGTATGGAGATGGCTCTTATCTCGACTCTTCGCCCGCGGCGTCACGTCTCCATGGAGCTACAATGCGACTGCTCCCCACGAGCTCGGCGGTGAACAGTGATCTGAGTGGAGGCACTGGCATGACCTCAGAGTATCACTATGGTGATTCATTCACTTATGACGCAGGGTAAGCTCACTTTGATCTGAGTTCATCCCCAAATTTGTCAATCTTTTATGATTCTTCGGCATGCTGGCGGAGCTTTTCTGCTATCCCCGTATACTACCACCATACTTGAGCCCCCCCCTTGTTTGCACCCTCCACCCAATCATAACTTGCGTTCGGAACAAGCTCAAGGTCCTGGACTGAAGAAGACCAAACGTTTTCCGCAATTTGTACTTGTGGTATAAACGCGCAATGTCCACGCCTTTGTGGGATCTCTGTCCGTTTCAACTGCCCCTTGCGAAGCTCACTTAGCGGGCCCAGCAACCGCTAGAAACATCCGTCAAGATGCTTTTTGAAATGTTTTATATGAGGCGAACTGTTAACAGGAATCGCAGAGCGGAACAGCAAGAGCAATATGCTCAGAGCCAATATCAATATGATCCGGAAGACTCCCCGTCGAGACCTACATCGAGCCTTCGACACGCGCCTACCATCCCCCCACCGGTAGCATCCGCAGCCGATTTACCGCACTATGCGACTCGCCCCGGCTCGCCTACGCGCCCTTGGTCCCCATCCCGTGCACCCAACTGGAGCGGACCACCGGCACCTCCGTCCGTGGTCAGCTCGCATTATGAGCGTGCTGACCTCAACGGCAGCCCTAGGCCGGGAACCCCGAGTTCGAGATATGGGGGCAGTCCCAGACGTCCGCTTCCCCCAGCGCCACTGTTTGCGCCCCCCGCCGGCTATGACGCGAGTATTCCCATTGGCAACTCAGACGAGGATGTTTTTGGCGGTGGTGGTGGCGGCCGCAGTACCGACCCCCAATTTGACAACCGCGCCAGCCTGCAGTCGTTCTTGAGCGAATCGACGATTATCACGGACGATAAGGATGGAATGGCGAAGATTGACTTGGACGATGAATACGACGAACGCGGAGAATTGGTCGATCCGAACTTGCATTACGGCCCACCCCCGGAGAAGCAGAGCCGCCGCGGTGTCCGAGAAGCCCAGATGTCGAAGAAGGAAGTGCAGCTCATCAACGGAGAACTCATTCTGGAGTGTAAAATCCCGACAATCCTGCACAGTTTCCTGCCCCGGCGTGACGACCGCGAATTCACGCACATGCGGTACACCGCTGTGACTTGCGACCCAGACGACTACATACAGCGAGGATATAAACTCCGTCAACAGATTGGCACGACTATGCGGGAGACCGAACTCTTCATTTGCATCACCATGTACAACGAAGATGAGATTGGCTTCACTCGCACCATGCACGGTGTCATGCGGAACATCAGCCATTTCTGTTCACGCTCCAAGTCCCGAACATGGGGTAAGGATGGATGGAAGAAGATCGTCGTGTGCATCATTGCAGACGGACGCAAGAAGGTCCATCCCCGGACGCTCAATGCTCTCGCGGCCCTGGGTGTCTACCAGGAGGGCATTGCCAAGAATGTGGTCAATCAGAAGGAGGTCCAAGCCCACGTTTATGAGTACACAACGCAAGTATCCCTTGACTCGGATCTGAAATTCAAGGGAGCTGAGAAGGGCATGACGCCTTGTCAGATTATCTTTTGTCTCAAGGAGCACAACAAGAAGAAGTTGAACTCCCACCGTTGGTTTTTCAACGCGTTTGGGCGGGCCCTTCAGCCCAATATTTGCATCCTTCTGGACGTTGGAACCCGGCCAGAGTCCACGGCGCTCTACCACTTGTGGAAAGCATTCGATCAGGACTCAAATGTGGCCGGAGCTGCTGGAGAGATTAAGGCGGGAAAGGGTAAAAACATGAGAGGTCTCCTCAACCCGCTGGTTGCGAGCCAGAACTTCGAGTACAAGATGTCCAACATTCTGGACAAGCCTCTGGAGTCTGTGTTTGGATACATCACTGTCCTTCCTGGTGCACTCAGTGCATACCGATTCTTTGCTTTGCAGAACGACGCCGACGGCAATGGGCCTCTGAACCAGTACTTCAAGGGTGAGACATTGCACGGCAAGGATGCGGATGTTTTCACAGCGAATATGTACTTGGCTGAGGATCGTATTCTCTGCTGGGAGCTGGTGGCCAAGAGGGAAGAGAGATGGGTTCTGCGATTCGTGAAAAGTGCTGTTGGTGAAACCGATGTTCCTGGTCAGTGACAATTTCTCCGCAGCCACCTGGCATAACTAATTATCCTTGCAGATACAATTCCTGAGTTTATCTCCCAGCGTCGACGATGGCTGAACGGTGCATTCTTCGCAGCCGTATACTCGATCGTCAATGGAAGGCAGCTTTGGAAGACGGACCATTCGCTGGTCCGGAAGATTCTTCTGCAGATCGAGAGCTTCTATCAGTTTATGCAGCTCCTCTTCACGTACTTCGGCTTGGTAAGTGCATTCGGTGATATAGACAGCAAGAGACTTACATTCATCTAGGCGAACTTCTACTTGGTCTTCTACTTTATTGCTGGATCGCTCACCGACCAGAAGATCGACCCCTTTGGACACAACATCGGGAAGTATATCTTCGTTATCCTACGATATGCCTGCATTCTGGTCATGGCCCTGCAATTCATTATCTCGATGGGTAATCGACCACAAGGGTGAGTTTCCTTCGCTCCTGGCACAGGCAGCAATTCTGACGTCCTGCAGTGCCAAAAAGCTCTATCTGTCGGGCATCATTGTCTACGGTATCATTATGTTCTACACGATCTTTTGCACGCTCTACTTGATCGTCATTGAGTTCATGGCACGGTTTGGTGGATACACGAAGGTCACTGTTAGTAACGGACTTTTCGTGAATATCGTCATGTCCATGCTTTCAACTGTGGGCCTTTACTTCTACTCGTCCTTTCTATACCTGGACCCCTGGCACATGTTCACCTCCTCCGCGCAGTATTTTATCCTTCTGCCTAGCTACATCTGTACTCTGCAGGTCTACGCCTTTTGCAACACCCATGATGTGACCTGGGGTACCAAGGGTGACAACGTGATGAACACTGACCTCGGAGCCGCACGAACCATCAATGGCACTACGGTCGAAATCGAGATGCCCTCCGAGCAACTCGACATCGACAGCGGCTACGACGCCGCCCTGCGGAACCTCCGTGACAGAGTGGAGGTTCCTGAGGCGCCCATCTCTGAGAGCCAACTGCAGGAAGACTACTACCGCGCCGTGCGAACTTACATGGTCTCCATTTGGATGGTGGCCAACGTCGTTCTCGCCATGGCAATCTCGGAGGTCTACGGGCCCGACTCGGGCGGCACGAACATCTACCTCTCCATCATCCTGTGGTCGGTGGTTGTTTTGGCGCTCATCCGCACCATCGGATCCACCACCTACGCTATCCTCCTGGTGGTGCAGAAGATCGTCGAAGGCAAGACTAAGTTCGATGCGGGCAACCTCGCCAACGCGAGTGCAACAGCCAGCTCGTCGGGCCGGACGAACACCACGGCTTATCGGTACGGTGGAGGCGCGACGATGAAGGATAAGTTTTCTGAGGCGGGATGGACGATGAAGAGACAGTTGGGGAAGGCGATGTTCTGGAGGAAGTAGACTTCCTCTCCGTCCTTATTATTGATGCTCTACTCTATTTCCTTTGATTTTCTTTTTTTCTTATAATCCCTGTGCATGACTTGATGGAATGATGTTGTTGATTACTTACGTGTATTTATTGCATGATGATTGATGGATAACGGGACATAATGGATATACGTGATGCATGCAGAGCACTTCTTACATGGTCGACTATTTTGGAGGAATCGCGATCGACCCCTCCGACACCTTGACAGCATTTCCCTTGAGATCCACATGCGCAATCGTCTCGGCATCGTCTCCCATCTCCACCTCCACGCCAATCTCACTCCGCCTCCCCATCTCCACCCCCTGCACAAAATCAAACCCCCTCCTCTCCTTCGGTGTGCCCTCCGTCAAAGACAGATAAGCCGCCAACCCACACGCCGCACTCCCCGTCGCCGGATCCTCGACATTCCCAGCAATCGCCCGCGTGCGTATCACCTCCCTGTCCTTGCCCTGGTCATCGTCCTGCACCCCCCTAACGTAGAAATAAAGCACACAATGCCCCACCGCCCACCCACCTTCGCCATCCATATACCCACTCTCCGGGCCCACCATCTCCCCGCCCGCAGAGGTAGTCACCGCCGCCAACGCCGCCAACGACGGCACCTCCACAAGGACCTGCGACATGCCCTTCACGATCGAGAACACGGGGAAGGAGATTTCTTTCTGCTGCTCCTGCTCCCCCTGATCCGAGTTGTTTTGAGTGAAAACCGGAGCCAGAGACCCATGCAACCGCAGGACTTCCCGAAGCGGGAACCGCTTCGCGTGCACGTGCGGGTTATGCGCGATCCGCGCGGTGACGCCCTCGCCCTTGGCCTGACCCGATGTCGTCTCTGAGGCGGCGGGGCTGGGGCTGGGGCTGGGGCTAGTTGCAGGGATAAGGGCGATGGGGATCGTCCCGGATTTGGTGATGAGGTGCGTTATCGCATTTTCTTTCGGAGGGTTCCCGGAGCTAGGGGATGGGGACGGGGATGGGGATGGGGATGACAGGTGGAGGAACCAGGCGGCGGCGCCGATGGTGGGGTGGCCTGCGAAGGGGAGTTCGTCGGTGGGCGTGAAGATGTCAATTGTGCGGTGGGTTGTGTTGCTGCCGCAGCTGGGGTCGGGGTGGATGAAGATGGTTTCGGAGAAGTTGAATTCGCGGGCGAGGGTTTGTTTTTGGCGCTGAGTTAGGGTTGTATTGGACGAGGTGGAGGAGGAGAGGGGGGGGAGGAAGACAACGGCTAGTGGGTTGCCTGTGTAGGCTGTGTTGGTGAAGACGTCGAGCGTTATGTAGTTGACGTGGCCGGGGGGTGGCATGTTGGGTGGTTTGGTGTTGTTTAGTATAGTTTAGGGTGGGTGTGGTTGGTGTGGAGGAGGGTCAAGTGTGATTGATTTATAGATGTTTTTATAGATGTTGGTTTACTCCGCTTGTGAGTCATCGCTGTAGATTGTTCCACTTGTACCTACTTTTTGTTGACAAATCATTGCTACAATGCTGGGATCGTGTCATTTTTCGCTTGGCCGATTTGTTCATGGCTCGTATTCAGGGTATAAGCCGGTGGTTGCATTTTTTACAGGTGGCTGGAGGGCTGGCTTCCATGTCCAACACAATGCTCCGCCAGCCCCCAGATCTCCCGCTCATCATATCATTAAGCTACATGTAGACCATCTCACTCCGAATCGCTGTCGACCACAAATCCAGCGCGCATCCGCCGGCGTGAAGCAGCTGCAACGACCGGTGCGTCTTCATCCTCCTCATCCTGTGCGCCGCCTTCTACCTCAGGTTCGCTAGTATGTGAGGCTTCATCGTCGCGAGGAGGTCCTAACAGGTCCTCGCGGTTACGACTGAACGCGAGGTCGTCATCAAAATCCAGGAGATCGTCCAGTTCATCCCGGGGCATGTCGTCCTGTGGCGACTCCGGCGACAAATCCCCCGTGCCCCCCATGATGATATCATCGTCCTCGTCTGCTCCGTCAGTCAGACTGACTCTCCGCTGTCGCTTTTTCTGGTGCTTGCCTTGCCCCTTTTTCCCGACGCCGTCCAGCGCTTCTGGAGGAACCCCATGGAGCATGGCCTGTTTGATGCGGTCGGCCTGCGCTTTGCGTCGCTGTTCCTCCAGGCGGAAGAACTTCTCGTCTGCCTCATCGTCCGTCTCCTCGTCACTGGCATGTACGTAGAGATCACTCTTGATCTTCGCGATGCGAGCTCGAGCATTCTCCTCGCGGGCGCGGCGCCGCTCCTCGAGGGTTGCCTCATCGAGGGGTTCACTTTCATCGTCACCATTCTGCTTGCGCTTTTTACGCTTCTGCTTCAGCTCCGAGAGCGCATTCGCCTTCGACCGCGGATTCGCCGGAAACAAGAACCCGTCGGGTACTTCATCTTCGCCCTCTGAGTCCGACCCGAAATTGATGCCGTCGTGGGCCTCGGAATGGTTCGTGTTCTTTTTGGGACCGTATTTGCGTCGGATCAGTTCGCGCGGGTCACGTCCGAGGTTTCCCTTCTCCGCTTTGGCGAGATACTTGTCAATAAATGACTTCATCTCTCGCAAATATTGCGCCGTTGCAGTCGAGGGGATGACCCAAGAGGCTCCCGCCACGTCTTCCACACCAAGTCGCTCGAATTTGACGAGCGTCATCAAGAGACGAAGCTTGGCGTTCGAGAACATGGCGTTCTGGCATGTCTCGTCTCGAGGTTTGACAGCTGCGCAACGGTCAGTACATGTGTACAGTACACACACACCCGTGAGGATATTAGAGATTGCATACATATCATTGGATTGGGAATCCTCGCGCTCTCTGCACCTGCTTCGCGGAGGGCCTTCTCCTGCTCTTCCCAGGCATCTCGTTCCTCCACGGCCGACCCCAGTACTTCGCTCACCCACTTGACGAGTTCCGCATCCCCGTCTAGAACCAAGGCAGGCACCATGATGCTCAGCTTCTCCTCGATGGTATTTGCTTGTTTGGGATCGATCTCCAGCTCAGCTGGGGCTCTCCGGATGGTCGGGAGCGTCTGCCGCTCGTGTCCATATTCAAGGTAATAGGTGGTCGCGTTGATCTTGCTGAAGAGTAGCTCGACGAACAGTGCAGGGCGCTGTTCCAGTTTCTTGGTCAATTTCCGGATGATTTGACGGACTAATTCTTCCCAGTCTTGGAAAATTGGCTTGCTTGAATCCAAGGCTCCGGGCCCCTTGATCATGCGGTAAAAAAGATTAATGATGTCGAGACGGAATAGCAAGACGCTCATCTCCTGCTTGAAGGCGATTCGATAGAAATACCGGTGGGCACGTTTCAGTTGCTCCGTGTTGAGCTCTCTATAATGCTTGGTGAAGTTGACGAAAGTGTCGACGCATTTCTGGTTGCAGAATTTGGCGGCGAAACGCCTGAAGTCGAAGCTGCGCTCCTTCGACATCCTTTCCGCCTCCATCATATCCTCATCCTCGGATCCGTGCTCTTCGTCATTCTCTCCCTCAACGATCCCCTCGGTTTCCTTCTGCTTACGTCTGGCACGCCGCCGAGACCGCACCTGCATGTCGACATTCTCTTTGGAGTAGCGTTCCAGCATACGTAAGAAAACATGGGTAAGCTCGGTGCACGCATTCAGGTAGCCGAATCCTTGATCGGTATAACCGCGAACAATAGCGATCACGCGATCATGCGTGGTTTCCTCGTAGAAGATCCGATTCTGGATATTTTCGGCAATCTCTTGGTCCTCCTCAAGTGGCGATTGGACCATATCCTGGACCGTCAACAGAACCTGCGTAAAGCAGCGCATCTCGGCGATGAGATCTTGCCAGTCCTTGCTGTCGACGGCATACTGCATAGCTCTGTTCAGGAAGACGAACGTTTCCTGGTCCAGCACACCGGCAACCAGACCGAAGCTATCCGGCTCGATCTCCTTCCCAGTCTTCTCGCTTTGCGCCCGTTTCTCCCGCTGAAGTGCACGTCGTGCCCGTTCCGCCTGCAGAAACCAGGACACGGAGTAGAAGAACTGACGGCTGTTGATGTCGACTACCCGATCCGCTTCCCGTTCGATTGCTTTGCGCACGTGTGTGAACAAAGGGTTGAACCCTGAATCCAGGAACTCTTCCACGAACTTCCGGAGGTTCTCAGACGCCGCGGAGTTGAGGTGCACAGGAGTGTTGAAGTCGTTGTACGTGGTTAAATCCTGCACCTTCCGGCGGAATTGAGGCTTGTTCCACTTCTTGCTGTCATCCATCTTCTGGAAGGTCGTCTGGTCATCTTTGAGGACACTCTGCCCGGACACTGTGGAGTATTTGGCGTCGTCGCGCTTCACCCAGATCATGGTCCCGAATCGACCGTGCCGCGTGGGTGCATTCTTCGTATATTCTCTCCGCAGCGACGACTCCTTCCGTAACAGGTCATCGAGCTCGTCGGTCCGCTTCGCGGTTCGTTGGGTATTGTTCATGAATAGCTTCTCGACGTCGACACCTCTGACTAGATAGAACAAGATCTCCAGGAGAGCCACGTCTTGCAGGTTGAAGTCGTCTCCCACATTGGAGCACATGGTGAGGAGGAGTGCGAATACGTCCTGATCCTGAAAGGCATTGATGGTTGCCGAGCGGGACGTTTCCTCCTCGTCCCCTTCAGCTGCCAGGCGAGTGTTCGGGGTTATCAAGGCGATATTGCGAAGGAAGAAGAGCATCAACTTGAGAATACCCTCATCGCGAGTGGCGCGTTCGGATCGCGGGGTTGCCATGCTCGGGAGGCCGATGCGGATGATCGTGCGGAGATAGCCCGTGCTGGCATGGCTGAGAATCCCCCGCTTATATGCGACATGCGAATGTTGTAGGTACGGGATGTGTTTGAAGTTGTCGGCCGTCATTTCACCTTGCATCTCCAATGGCCAGGTCAGAGGCACCAAGATTTCCACTGCAAGACCACCCGTCAGTCACCCTGTTCCCTAGCGTAAAGATGGTAAAATAAAATACAGCGACAACATACAACACGCCAAGGCGATCCGAGACATATATTTGGTCTGCTTGGTGCTATTCGCAAATGTCGACAAGATCGGTAGCAGGTCCCCGTTGACCAGGTTCGCTTCTCCCAGGCATCGCGCAACGTCCATGCGGTTGTACTTCTCGTCGTAGAGTTTCAGCCAGCGCTTGATATCCCGCAAGCATGCCAATGCATCGTCACCCAGGACGTACTTGTCCGCATCTTCTCCGTTGAATCCTCCAAGCTAATATGGACAACGTCAATTAGGAATTCACAGTATGGGCTGTGTGCATGTGATACTTACCGCGGTGACAAGGCTGTAGACATGGGCTCGAACTTCCGGATCCACCACGGTGGACTCGGTCGCCGCGAGCGCTGGCTCTTCGACCTCCATATTGGTCGATAATGCTGGACTCTCCTGATCGCTTTCGACTTGAATAACAACTTACTAGGTACTGTCCATCGCTGCATCTTTCGAGCAATCTCCTAAATGATCCGGCGCGCAGATGGGTCAGTGCACCAATCATAACGCGCCATTGACGTGTTCATCGCGTCTCCGCCTTCGGGTGGCCGGCGAAACGGTTCGGCCGGTTGAGCCGAGGCTAGCCGATGACGTCGGCTCACATGGGCCGCGATACCCGCGGACCGCCATCACAAGCAAAGGAGACGAGTGCGGAGAAGGGCGAAGGGAGTACTCCGTAGTTAGGCAAGGCATCGAGTTATTCTCCGTTCATTTGGTTCTCCAAGCGTCTTTCATTTCTTTACTCTATGCTGGACAAGTTCTGTGCTCCTGCTACAGCCATGTTGTTGTCTTCAATCCGCTCCCTCTGCTACAGAGGCCCCTCAATCGCCTCCAGGGCCTTCAGTTCATCTCCCCTCGCTCGAACTGCCGAGGTCAAGTCGTTAGGTGTGATAGGAGCTGGTCAAATGGTCAGTTGCAGCACTTTCCGACCCCTTTTCCTCCAAAAACATGGCTCTCATATCCTATACTAAATGATTCCATGTTAGGGACTGGGCATCGCGCTGGTTGCCGCCCAAAAAGCCCAAGTTCCAGTAACATTAATCGACACATCCCAAGCATCCTTAGATAAGGGCCTCAAGTTTGCCGGTAATTCCAAATCTCTTCCATCCTTGGGAGCTCGTCCCACCTACTGAGATTCTCCGCCGTATAATGTTCTCGAAATAACTAACGATCCCCCCCGCGATACGTTCCCCAAAAATGCAGACAAACTCCTCGCCAAAGATGTCGCCAAGGAGCGGCTCACCCAGGAAGCGGCGGACGCGGCGCGCGGGCGCATCACGCCGAGCCAGAAGATGGAGGACCTGAGCGGAGTGGACTTTGTGATCGAAGCGGTGCCGGAGATCGAGGAGCTGAAGCGGAGAGTTTTCGGGCAGCTGGCGCAAATCGCGCCCCGGCACGCCATCCTGGCCACCAACACCTCGTCCATCTCCATCACCAAGATCGCCGCAGCGACGACGGCGGACCCGACGGACCTGCAGGCGCCGGCGCGGGTCGTCTCGACGCACTTCATGAACCCGGTGCCCGTGCAGAAGGGCGTCGAGATCATCGCGGGCCTCCAGACGGCCCCCGAGACGGTCGCGGCCGCCGTCGCCTTCGTCCGCCGCATGGGCAAGATCCCCGCCGTCTCGGCGGACTCCCCCGGGTTCCTGGCGAACCGCATCCTCATGCCCTACATCAACGAGGCGATCATCTGTCTGGAGACCGGCGTCGGGGCCAAGGAGGATATCGACAGTATCATGAAAAACGGTACCAATGTGCCTATGGGCCCCCTGACGCTGGCAGATTTCATCGGGCTGGATACCTGCTTGGCTATCATGAATGTCTTGCATCAGGAGACCGGGGATAGCAAGTACCGACCGTCGGGGCTGTTGAAGCGCATGGTCAATGCCGGTTGGTTGGGCAAGAAGTCCGGCAAGGGCTTCTATGACTACTGATGAGCGGCGATGGCCCTGAGCACCCTCTAATGCGTCGCTTTATATACTCTCAATCAATGCCACCATGGGTTCGGTTCTCCTCATTCGCTTTGCTTCCATGCGTGGGTTGTGATTTAGGATGGAGATTGTAGTGATTAATATCTATTGTGACGAGACATCTCTCTACAGGTGCATGAAGGTATGTGTGTATATATATATATATATATGTTCATTCCAATTCTGGCATTCTGGCATTCTGGCAAATTGTCGGCAGAGATAAAAGCAATTTTAGGTCGTTAGCATCAGATTGATATGACAAAAAAAAAAGTCAAAAGAATGGCTAAAGTCAGCATCGCACGCCTCCTGAAATCAGTCGCATCAAAATCATTATTCATCGCCGTCATAGAATGATGTCTCGGCGCAGTAAGTCTATTCTCAATTGGGAAAGTCTCTTGCTCTCCCTGCGACTCCCCTCCATCTTAGCTTTGGCATTGACCGCCGCCTCCTCATCACGGAGTCTTTCGTTGCGGAGGATGGCAGTGACCACCGCAGACAGCTCGGCCTCCTGGTCTCTGCTCAACTTGGTGTGTCCGATAAGCACGGCCAGGAAATCCGCGGGTCGCTGTCCGGACGCAGCACAGGCACAAGCAGACCAAGGATCTCCACATTTGTAACTGGAACAAGCAGTCAGTCAGCCTTCATTGTTGCGTTGATAAATGTACGGAAAGAATGGGAACACTACCAGAATTGAGCCTTGCATCTGCAGGTGACATGGTCACATCCAGAGACAAGCTCGATCATGGAGCCGCAATCATAACATCGCTGCCATTGCTGGATTCGGGCCTCCTCAAGAACAGCAGCGAGGCCGGGATCCGGTGAGCATCCTCGCGACGAATGAGCCAGATCGCGACACCCTGAACATATCTTGGTGCTGCAGTAAGGGCACGTCTGCGATGCGGATGCGCTCTTCACATGCTGCAACGGAATGAAGCGCCCACACGTCGCCGCTGGGCAGTACCAGCGTTCTGCAGCCGGGGTCGCATACTCCTGCGCTTTCAAGATATAGAAGCTTCTTTCTCTAGGCGTCAACACGGGCAGGATCGTCTCAACTGGGATATCCAGCTTGCAGCATCGGGGTGGGAACAGCCCTTCCTCGGAAATGACCGTGAGCACCATCTGCTTCATGCATCGGCTGCAATATTTGTGTTGACAAGGCATAGTCGCCAAGCACTCGGCGGGCATGATGTCGAGGCAGCACACACAGCGTCTACGCCACGTCAGTTAGTCTTGAACTCAGGGGATTGACCGCGCAATAGGGTAAACTCACTCGTCGATGATCTCACTCCTGGCCTGTTCTTTGGTGAGCTTGCCACGAAGCTTGCTGAAGAAGCGCTTGACCCTGGACCTTGTACGACTCTTCTCGCCTGATAGCGGATCTGGAAGAGCAGCATCGGCCCCGGAGGAGGCACTTGACGACTTAGTGTATGATCTCGACCCGCGCATGGTGCGAAGCCCTTCTGGCATCGGGAGAGCTTCGGCTGGTTGCGCAACAGCACGAGAAGACAGTCTTCTGATCATCATTGGAGGCATTCTCTTGGCTGCACCAAGTACTCTGCAGGTTCAGGACTTTAGAACGGATCGCGGGATAGCCCTACGAGGATTGATGGTCTCAAGGATGGGTGAAAGCAGGTCGGACCGATTGATTGCTGGGAAGTATTCTAGAATACTGGAATCCATAATCGCAGATCGTGTCTGGGCAAGAGCGGGTTTTGGCGAGAATACTAAAGCTGGGTACCGTATATCAATAACATAATTCGAACGATGTCAGGTAGTCTGCTATTTGATATACTGAATGGATGGTCGAGGGACTGAAAGAGTAAGAAGATTGATCGGAGGGAGAACGACATTTTAGTCTATATAAGCTGTTCTCCTACGCTGACCGGGATGCTCTTCCGGAAGGCTGTCGCATGATGAAATTCGGCATATGCGACAACTAAGCGGCCACGCCATGGGTACGGCGGTCGAATGCCACATGTTCAGGCTTCATTATTCGCTACCATGGGAAATGGGAGGGTCTCTTCAATCGCCAATTCGCTGATCGCACTTGGATGGGAAATTTGGGAATGGCGCTGCTTAAAGTGTTTGGACCAACCATGGCCACAATCGAGCGCGTCAACAAGGGTCAAATGTCGGGGAGGATGGTTAACCATGAGGGTACCGGTATGCTTTCCGTCAAGCCGGTGTCGACGTGTCCAACTGTGGGGGGAAGTAGGGGATTGAGGATGTATGGAAGGAGATTATAGGAGAAGAGAAGGTCTAAGAAGAGGTGTTAGGTAGCAAGCAAGCAACCAACCTTAGGAAGTCCGTCGATGATTAGAGATGGATGCAGCCTCACCTCACCGCAACAAGCGACAATCCAATCCAGTCCAATCCCATGTGACTCACCCGCATCCTTTCTGCCCAACCGATTGACTCTGCGTGGTCAAAATTCCATCCCCCTTCCACACGCTGGAGTCGGTCAAACTAATGAACGAAGACCGCCATTGAGCTGCTGGGAAAAGAGATGATTAGATGTTTGTTCAATACTCTTCAATACTCACAGTGACATTTCATCAAAATGCTTACTTGAAAAAAAGGGTATCAAGGACACATAGCTACTACACAATACAGGTGCCAGCCTAGAATAACAAACCAAAAGGCTGCAGCTCAACCCTCCGAAGACGCCAATCGCGCATTAAACCTTGAACTCCCCCGACCGGTTATAATGCACCAGCAAACTTCCGACCAGCCCAGGAGGAACCATACTCTTGGTATTCCTGACGAGTGATAGCGATCTTCTTGAACTCTTCTCGATTGGTGGCCAGTCGCGATGCCCCCAGCCAAGTGGATCGAATTGGGCTATCATTGAATCTCATTAGTCTCTTTTAACTCGAGTCACGGAAATAAGGGACAAGCTTACTCTTGAGGGCTTCGCACCCTCACAACACATTCAGCGGATGCCAGTTGGCGCAGCTCGGCCTCCCTACACTAGGTTAGAAAACAAGTAGATCATTTCTTAGGAGATCGTCTTACAGTCTCCCCATAAACCCCGGCAGTAATGTATTCCCGCCAACAACCAGGACGTTGGCCAAGAAGGCCGGGTGCAACCCGGTAGGCAATACAGAAAGACTCTGCAGAACGATGTCCGGGATCCCGGCCTGTTTCATGCCAATATCACTGGGCGTAAACAAAACTTCCGGGACAGTAAACCGCTCGTTGCCCAAGACCAGGGCATCTTCGGATAGTGCCTCAGCGCTGGCACCGGACAGCGCTCCTTTCCTCTTCTTAGCGTTCAGTAATGGATCGTGTGGTCGCATGAAGCCCTTGTTTCCCGCGTTGGGGTCCGGAAGGACATAGTCTACTGCGACGCCCTCTTTCGAATCAGGGAGGTCACGCTTCCGATTGCCTTTCCAGGTCTGCTCTAAGTCGCCAACGAAGTTGTTGCTCACGTAGCAAACAGCCTCTTTAACCTCATTCATGATATAGGTTTCATCCACCATGTTATATTGCCGCACGGACACCATCTCCTTCAAATAATTTGTAAGATGTTTGCCGCCCAGGTCGAGTCTGCGTATGGCACGTTGAAGCGGTTGGCCTCGGTAGACAGGCGTCACCGTGGTGTGGGAGTAGCCGGAGTCGATGACCAGTAAACATTCTCTTGGAGACACAACAGATTCCGCCTCTTGCACAATCGGATCTCCGAAGACAGTGTTCAACTGGTTCCAAGCATTCAACGGCGGCCCTAGATAGAGCGGCAAAATCGCATCAGCAACAGGACGCAAACCAAATGGGCTATTCGTGCCTATCTGGTTTCAGACTTTTAGAGGGGGGGGAGAGGTTCCGCACCTAAGCTCCTGTAATAACCTCCAAAGCCCCACTCCTCCATCACAATCTCGTCGGCGTTCTTTTGCAGGACGGGCAACGCATTGGGCGCCTCCGTCAGCACCAAGGTGGTGTCTTCCGGGTCGGTGATGCGCAGCTCCTTGCTTCGCGCCGTCTTCTCGTCGAAGAACGAGTGCTCCCAGATCTCTCTCTGGGCTTCCCAGTTGACGATATATCCCTTCTCTACCGGTCGACGAAAGAACATCTCGTTCCAGTCGGTCACATGTGTGTTGAGTTGCGAGCCGACGTATATGCGGTTTCCACGTGTCTTCACAATCGTATTGGGGATCGTAGCGCACGCCGAAAGCGCCTGTACTTCATCCTCAGGGGGTGGGTTTTCCGGCGCATATCCTGCTTTCAGTGTATATGCGCCATTGTCGACAATGAAAGTTTTATCCGGCAGAGCTTGAAGGGTCTGGGCTTTGGCGACGGAAGCTCTGCCACCAGACGGACGCGGTTTAGCTGTGCCCATGCTAAGGGAAGAACGGTGGAACGGTCGCGAATCGATGTATTAGCTTCGAATGCCTCGAATCCATGCATGAGCAAATGGCACGGAGCCCGGACCACAGATATGTTGAATTTGGTGGTTCGAGTTGTTACATGCTACGGAGTAGATAAATGGAAATGCTCGTCCCCCGCGGCGGTCGGCGATGCCAAGCAGCCAGCCCTCCAAATCGGGAAACCAGGGCTCGATCTTAGGGCCACTATATGTGTACTGTCTGATACGGTACGGTACAATACCATCCGACAATCCTTGCAGAAAGCGAACATAGAGATGGTGTACGGAAGCATGTAGGCGCCTACCACATTATGTCGCAACGACATGCATGGCATTCATTATTTCTTGAACAACGAACTACACAGTTACCCAGAACACGTAATTCGATACAGGACATCAAGATCTGTTCACAAAGAAGATGAGTCCCGGGCAAAATCGGACAATTGCCATATTATGTAGCAGTTCACTCTTCAGTCAAGTCGTCGAGCGACTCATATTGAGAGAGCTCTTCTGCAGTCATTCGATCCTTGAGCCATTCAAGAGTGGCATCAGTACCCTTGGCGACAATCTGCCACCGAGGAACACGGAAGCTATTTCCGGCGACCTCGAACCGTCTCAGGGCAGATCCATTACCCCAATTTCTGCTCGAGCCTTCTCCTCTCAGCAAGCCTAGCTTAGGTGGAAGCATGCCAATCTCATTATTTCCCACGTCTAATACCTGAAGACCTTGGGCGGCATCAAACTCCAAGCTGGTATATCGATTGTCTGCGGCCACAAATGCCACCAGGTTGGTGTAAGTGCGACGTACGGCAGGCACCTGGCCAGACAGGCGGTTGTAGGAAACATCCAGAAATGTCAGGGCTGGTGCCACAAGGTTTGTCAAGATGGGATCCAACGTAGTAAGGTTTGTAGCGCCTAGACTCAGGCTTTGAAGATTGGGAAGCGTAAGAGCTGAGGCGAAGAGTGTTGTGTTATCTAGTGGGTTGTTTGAAAGGTCGAGGTCTGTGAGAGTAGACGCCAGTAAACTAAGGGCAGATACCGGGAAATAAAGTAGCTCGTTGTGATGCAGATACAAACATCGCACGTCGCTTAAGTTAATTCGCCTTAACTCATCCAGCTCTAGCTCACGCATATCAGTGTAAGACCGATCGAGAACACCGCCAGGCTTGATCTGCCAAGCCGCCGTCTGAGCCGGGGTTTCTGGTGCCAATGTAAACTGGGTCGCGACAGAGCCCGCGTCATCGTCGGTATCCTGGGGCTCTGGTTCGCATCGGTTTCGCAAGTCGCGCTTCAGGTCTTCGGTGCCCATAGTCAGGTACTTGCGTTCGCGAAGGGGATTATTAGCCACTCGAAACGTGAACAGGCTCTCCATCAAGCCGATCTTGTCGTCCAATCTGGAGATATCATTGCCTGTGAAATCGACGTTTCGAACATTCTTCAAGTCAATGAAGCCTTCTGGGAGATTCGGAAGGCTGTTATCCTCGGCCGACAATGTCAGCAAGGCCTGCCAGGACGACAGATCCGGCAAGGACTGGATGCGATTGCAGCTAATTGCTAGAGTCCGGAGATTGGGCAGTTCCAAAGCCACGTTTTCGGCAAGCTTCACCAATGCATTATTGGCCACATCAAGAACCTGCAGTGCTTCGAGCTTATAGACCGAAGCTGGGATGAGTGTGCCTTTCAGTTTGTTCTTTGGGGCTCGAAGCTCCTTCAGAGAAAGCTGGCTTAAGGCTTTAAACTGTAATGAACTCAGCTGGTTACCACCAACATCCAAGACTCGAAGTGAGCTCAATTGTGACACTTCTGGAGGCAAGTCAGTGAGAGTGTTGTCATGCAAATCCAAAGTCTCCAGCATATTCAGGTTTTTGATCTCTGGTGTAAGAGTGCCTTCCAACCGATTCTTGGCCAGCTTAAGATCTTTCAGGGATACCAATTCCATAACGACCTGTAAATCGTTCATTTTGAGATTATTATTTGACAGATTCAAGGTGTGAAGTCTTCGTAATCTTCTGAAGCCTATCGGTAGAGATTGTAGCAGGTTACCGTGCAAGTCTAGCAGCTCAAGCCCGCCAAATTGGTTTCCCTTCTCGTCATCAGAATCCCCATCTAAATCGTGCGGGTCAATGTCAGGGAAAGCTTCTTCAGGAAGCTCCGTAAACTCGTTGTCGGCCGCAATGAACTTAACCAGGTCTACACTCTGGTACCACTCAGTAGTAGCATCAGGATCGAAGTCGTACATCGCCATAACTTCCTTGGGAAGTTCTTTCAGAGACATGGCTGCTATGTTGAGATGCCCAGAGGTTCTGCCTGTTTCAATGCGTTTTCGAAGAAGACCAATATTTGAATCCTGGGGGTTCTGTTTGAACGGATCTTCGGTGTTGAGCCGATCCCAGGCATCATTGGAAGACGAGGATTGCATGCGTTTCTGCGCTTCTGCTTTTCTTGCCGCCTTAGCTTTCGCGATGCTCTCTCTAAGGGCGCTTGAAGATTTTGAGACCTTCCTTGTTTCCAATTCTGACTGTTGCTCTGGCGTCAAGTCTGATGCCGTGGATCGTGCGGACGGTGACCGGGGGCCAACCGATGATTGCCTTGATGTTGGAAGCTTCGGCTGCGCTCTTCGTGTTTTCTTCACATCTAGGCTGGATAATGACGCATCCGGGCCCGATCCAGCGGCATTCATGTGGGTTTGAGTCAATGTTGGACGAGGCTTTGTCGTGATAGACGCCAGATTAGCGTTTCCCTTATGTCCGCTCATTCTCGTAGAGGGCAGCTTCAATTTCGATGGACTATTTGTAGTAGCCGGGGCATGGCCAGGATCACCCGATGCAGCATTCGTGGACAAAGACGGGCGAGGGCTGGATGGCAGCCGCATGGCAGAGGGCGGTCGTGCAAGATAATCGCCCCCGCTAGGTTGTCGAGATGAGGATCTGGATGGTGACCTTGAATAGCTAGTCATTGATGATGAGGGGCGTGATGGGGACCGCATCGGACTCGTTGCGCCATAGAAACTCGACTGTCTTCTACCTGGTCCTGGAGATGGCGGTATTCTTGAGAGTGTCTCGATTGTTCGTTCTGCAAGCGAAGGTCGCGTACGGCCTCGCGTTTCAGTATCTTCAATCAGGACAGCATCGCTCTCCGAATATGGAGCAGTATTCAAGTTTGTGCTGGCTTCGGACTTCGCACCCCCGCCCGCCCTTGTCTGGGACCCATCGAGTTTCCGAAGTCCGGCGGAGAGTTTCTGAGGTGCTTTGTATTTCGGCAGTGGTTTTTTGAACACATTATCTTCGGAAGGTCTGCGGAGCCTGTTCGCGTCCAGGCCCGAGTCGGTTTGTAGCTTCTCACGCGATGGCGAAGGTCGGAGGGGTTTGGAGGTTGCGGATGTTGTCGGCAAGGGGAGTCTTGATGCTAAGCGGGGAATGCCACTCGCTCGGGCAGGTGTTTTTGGTTGATTGTTCATCTTTGTACCAGGTTCGGGGAGTCTTTGACTATGATCGGCTGTGGGAGGAAGTTGAAAGGGGGCACTTTCACCACTATAGCAAGCTCATTGCCGCAAAGATATATCGACCTGGATGAAAATATATCGATCGATGATGTTCGGAAGTTGCCAAGGGGTCAAGCAGTCATGGTGGAGGTCAACCCTATTGTGACTTAAAGAGGGGGTTGGTCAATCGTCAGGTTGGCGCAGTGACCTCACAGTGTGCATGTTGTCCATAATATGGCTGTAATTATTGAATTGATTGTTTACCAGTTAATTTGTAAAACCGCCGCGGCTATTGCATATCCTGGTGCCTGAGGCTGCATATTCCCCTCACCTTTAAGGCACTCCCTTGGCACCGCCATAGCTCATACCTGCGAGTATTAATCAGACGAAACGTTCAGGTCCTGTTTAGGCACTTGAAGCATAGCTAATGAACGCAGTCTCTCATATAAGGACACTATTTAGCAATTTAATACAAGGGAATGAAATTGCTGTAGAGTCTTAGATGCACCTGTGAATCTATTGATACTTACTAGACCAAACATTCTTGAATCTTGGAGATGGGAGAAATAGCTCAAAAGTACCTCTCTTTACACCATCCACCCGATAGTATATATTCTTTCTTGATCTGATTAAGACATGAACCCAGGTAGAAGTCATTTTCAGTGTGACGTGATCAATATGTGTGGTATTCATGTGACTCCGATCAACAGAACATGCACTCTAAGGACTTAAAGGGACCCGGCTGGGCAAGAATAGATCCATCAAAGGCAGTACTAGAAGGCCTTTCGAGAAGAAAAGAAGAAGCCATGCTAGTCCAAGCTGCGGAAATTGCCAGGTCAGAGTCAAATCTAGGTTTCCAGCACAGTACTTCAAAGCTCAGGAATGATATCATTCCTAACCTCCGCCGGTGCATGCGATTGCTGCATTCCATGTCTTACTTAGCAGCCAGCTGTTCGATATATTCCACGGGCCAGACTCATCCTTGGAATACTGTCTGGCGAATGAATTGTGAGTGCGGCGTCGACAGACCTTACACTGTTATCAGCCAGTAGGTGCTTTGTGACCCGACTACCATCGGGCTCTGAGATCAAGACCATAGTAACTTGAGTACTCCGTACAGCTAGCTGGGCTCTGGGCTGGGTCTGTCGTCGGTTGCCTCAGCTACAATCAAAAGTGGCCCATGGGGTTTCGGTTGTTTACCTTTTGCAAGCGTCAGCGATCTCTGCTTAGCCCAAGCAGGAAAGGTGGCCTTTTAGCGCGCGGCTGGGCTCACGTGGGTGATGGTGGTTGGAGATGGTTGGTCGAGGCTGAGCATTGCAAGCGATGGTTCCCAGCCTCCTCCAATTGTGCGCCAACTTACGCTTGCAAACACCCTTAAGGCATCAATCCGGCCCCTTCCTCCTTGCTTCTCCTCATCATATCATCTCTTACGCCCACCCCCTCCCCTTCCCCCTCATCCATCAACTAGCTTCTTCATCGTCGCCCTTTCGTATACCTTATCGCGTGTACCTGCTTCATTCCTCTGATCTCCTTACTCCCGTTGACAGGCGCTTCCCACCAGCTTCCATACTATCGTCTCTTACATTGCTCTCCCCTGCCATAACTTACTGCCATACCCGGAGCGATCTGTTTCCGACTTCTTATCGCCAACTCCCATACTACTTGCGAAACGTGCCCGATCCGGCTATCGGTGATAAGCACATACATATTCCGTCGCAAAGCTGTTACTGCGACGAATCGCGCAACGCTTCCGTAGATTTGCCATCCCATTGCCATTGCATTCTTCCAGCCTGGTTATTCTGCCCACCCGCTCGACAACAGACTTCGTCTCGTCGCATCCTCGCACTCAACAAGGATATTGACGTCTCGCATGCGCTTGCGCCCGACCGCCTCACGCTAACTTCCGGCCCATTGCATTGAAGCTTTGCCCATACGGTCCTACATACAGACTGCGTCGGGCTTGGCTGCGAATGCAAAAACAGTTGCTTGCCTGCTTCCTGGATGCCATATCTTGACTATGTCACAAGAATTTGAGCGTCCGCTCTCGCAGGGATCGCTTGCGCCCCCAGTCGATATTTCAGGGCCTGCTACCCCGATTAAACGGGCAGTTCTATCCGCATCACCAGACTTGAGTGTCAAAGCTGGAAGCCAAGCTTCAAAATCCGACCAAAGCAAACTCCTCTCACCACCATCTCTACTTTCATCAGATATGACACCGCCCCCCTCATCCCAGATACCCGGAGCCCCTCTGCGGGAATCGAGGTCTCGATCAAGCTCATGCCTCGCATCCCCGCCCAATATCGAGAAGACCCTCTGTGTGGCATATGGTGCTTCGGAAAACCTTCCAACTGCCGATGAAATTGATAATGCGGACGAATTGAAGCTTCGCATGATCGCCAAAGACCTCCTAGGTGTAGCTCAGGAAGCCCGCATGTCAGCGCTCCATTTCAAATTGCAAAACAGTCTGCTCTCATTCACAAGTAACGAAGCGATCAAGCGTGCAGAGGTCGAGCATCAACTTGCGCGAAGGGAGGTTGAGATTCTTCAGAGTTCGGAATATCGCAGTCGCCAATGCCAGCATGAGATGAAACCGATACAGTCGATTTCGAATGAGGAGCTTGAGCTTTCTCTCAAGCGCAATCAGGAACTCGAGAGGGTTAATGCTACACTCGATCGAAGGCTTCGCCGAGCAAAAAAGCTTATCGAACAGGAGAGAAACACATCCGAGCTTTTAAGAGAAGAAAATAGAATGCTGAAGGACCGAATTCGCGACAACCGAAGACACTTCTCTCGGATGATCGAGCATGGTCCAATGTCTCCAAGTCCCCAGAATGAGGCCCACACTCCTCATAGAGGGGCAGTACCTCAGTTCGCCGACAACGGTGGTCATCGCTTGAACGGAACTGAAAGGCACGACCCCTTTGAAGCTCTTCTAGCAGCTCACCGCGTCCTCAACCAGGAGTCGCCAGCTGTCGCCTCGACCCCCGATAGACACCGCCATCATCGAGAGAATGCGAGTCGTCACATGCGCGGCGCTCACTCTTTGTCGTCTTTACCTATGACTCCATCCCATCCTCGGTTGACACACGATGAGGGTCAAACTCATACCCCAGGGACATATTCTTCTGATGATCGTCGTGATCGAGACAGTACCATTTCGGCATCTGACATTGAAGAAGCCGAAACCGAGGAAGATGTCCCCGCTGCAGGAACAGGGACTGCCTCTAGTAGCGTGCACCGCCGCAGTCAGTTCAGCAACCATCCAGAGGGTCGAGGCATGGCAAGTGCTGCAAAATCGAGTACGTTGCTGCAAACAAAGCTGTTTGGCCAAGTGAGGAAGCCCGGCGTTGATCGGCCCCTCAGTAAAAATCTCAAACGCAAGGCAAGTTTTGATGGTGCGACCCCGAAGAGATCAAAAGCGGAGGAGAGGGTGGGTCTCGGTATTGGCACCTGGAACAACTAGACCAAGCAGTACCCGTGCACAACGGCAAAGCGTCGCTGTTTCTGCCAAACCTGAACCTTTATCAGAACTAGTGTCCTGTCGTCAACGACATGAGAGACGCCTTCCTATGTCGACGCGGATGGTCTGATTGCGTTATACCTTGCTTTCTGCATATGAGCCTTTCTCCCAGGACATGGAAAAGTGATGAGCTACGACATTCAAAGAAATGACGAAAAAGACTGGTCTTATTTAAGAGCAGCTTGTTTCCCTGTGTGATCTTATCTGCCCCGGATTTTGTCTTCGATATTTTTGCGTTGGCTTTTCGAGCATATCCTGTGAGCGACTAGGTACTCTTATTTTAGGAGTTATTGATCAATTTAGCGAAAGTTAGAGATGAATGAAATTCAAATTGAACCGAGCTGGAGCACATTGGCAATGACATCTTAAATGGTATACCAGTGAAGACTGGGGATGGTGGAGGTAGTTCATCAAGGTATGTAGACACTGAGACAGGTCGTCTGACTAAGCAAGAAAGACAGAAATGGCAGAAGGAAGTGAGTGGTACTGTGAGGTATCAAAAAGGGAAAACAGGGTAAATTATATGATGAGCAGTGAAGTGTCGGGTCACAACCATGACACAAATATGACTTCTTGATCACCAATAGTTCATGTTCCATAACAAGAGCAGTGTCTACTGGGGGATTAAAGCGATCCAAAGTCACTGGGAATTGCGGTTCGGAAAAGGCGGAGACGAAGGCGGACAAGAGGACGAGCCTTCCGGATTGGGTAAGCAGGGTAGGGCTCGCTAAGCGAGGCGATGCGGCTCTGCGCGGGTTAGCCACACCAAAAAAAGTTCCACCTAATATTGAGGCGAGGAGTCTTGAGATACGACCAGCAACCACCCACGACGACGACGACAATCTCCCGGCCTTGATCCCCATCCGTCACAATGGTGCGTTATGCGTCCCTCGCGATAGTCTATCGATCAATCACGATGATCATGGGCTTTTTCCCCCTGTCTCTCGACGTTGGTTTCTCGACACGGTGAATGCTGATGGATTTGTTCTTGGTGTGATATAGGCGATCAAGCACAACAACCAGATTCTCAACCAGCGTGAGTAATGCACCCGCCATACGGAGCGAAGAGTACAGGGCGAGCGAGAGAGGGATGGAGACGATGAGAAGGGGAAAAAAAATACACCGGATGATGGACGACGAACTGGGTCAAATCGAATGTATCATGGACTGATGGAATTTTTTCTCTATCTCAGACTTCCACAAGGACTGGCAGCGTCGTGTCCGCGTGCACTTCGACCAGGTACGCTCTTCCTTCTCTACGATCCAATATTACGATTCTATGGATCGCAATTCGCCTTGATACGAACGACATGGGAAAAGCGAGGATCGCTGAGAAAAGATGGTGTGGACTGACTTTTTTTCTTTCTGGTTTATAGCCTGGCCGCAAGCACCGCCGTCGTGAGGCTCGTCTCGCTAAGGCTGCCGCCGTTGCTCCTCGTCCGGTTGACAAGCTGCGCCCCGTTGTGCGCTGCCCTACTATCAAGTACAACCGCCGTGTTCGGGCTGGTCGTGGTTTCACCCTTGCTGAGCTGAAGGTAAAGAGACACTCCTACGAATCCCGGAGCGAAGAAGGTTGAAAGGGGGGGGGTGTGGCTTGGAACTGTCCAATTCGACCTGGGGACCCCAGCGCCACGCACATGAAGGAATAAAATTCAGGATCCAAAGGCTTACACATTTTGGTTTCACACCCGAACAGGAAGCTGGTATCCCCAAGAAGCTCGCTCCCACCGTCGGCATCGCCGTTGACCACCGCCGTGTCAACTACTCCAAGGAGTCCCTCGTCGCCAATGTCGCCCGCCTCAAGGACTACAAGGCTCGCCTGATCCTCTTCCCCCGCAAGAGCGGTCAGTTCAAGAAGCTCGACTCTTCTGCCGAGGAGGTAAACGCCGCCAAGGCTGCCTTCGCTGAGGGCAAGACCGAGGGCTTCGTCACCCGCGTCAACCCCACCCTCCCCATCAAGAACGTCTCCGCCGCCGAGGCCGTCACCGAGGTCAAGCGCGACGACCTCCCCAAGGGTGAGGAGGCTGCCTACCGCCGCCTCCGTGAGGCCCGCTCCGAGGCCCGCTACAAGGGTGCCCGTGAGAAGCGTGCTAAGGCCAAGGCTGAGGAGGAGTCTGCTGCCAAGAAATAAATGTGATTCACTACTAATGATGATTGGGTCGATTTTCAAGTCGGGGATTAGTCTACTGTGGCATGGCGTGGCTCCTCTTTTTCCTCTCTTACCTTTGTCCTTAACTTAAAAAGCTTCCCAAACACCTCGAAATGCAAATGTCCCAAGTTCATGCCCCACCACTACGACTTTCGATCTTTTGTGATGGTCTTCTTCCCCAGACTTCGGTTGTCATCAGAAGTTTTATTTTTTCCTCCTCCACCAGAAATCACATCAAGACCTTGCAGATACCCCCCCCCCAAACCACATCAGAATTACCTACATGTTTTTCCTGATCTGACGAGTAGACGGCAGAGGTCAATATCACGGTCTTTCCACCGGGTTGTATATCTTGTAGAAACCCTGCCACGGTCTAGTGCATCCTACTTTGCGAGTCTAGGTACGTGCTCGATAGCGAACGTAAGTGGAGAACATATGGGCCCAGATCGCTCTCTGTGAAGAAAACCTACCCTGTCAAAAATGTACGGGCTTAAGAAAGGAAGATTTGCTGCTGTCATTCATCCTTGATTATGGGCACACATGCCGGGGATTGAAAGCTTGCATTGGATCCGCTCTCCCTATCACACCCGGCCCAGCAGCCTATCGTATTGCAAATTAAACCGTTTCACTGTTACCTCTCCACAACATAGTTTCCCTTCAAAACGGCCCGTGGTATAACCCGTGCTCCAAACCTAACCCAAACAAGTAGAAACTCCTAGATTCGAAGAAATGAAACGCGCCCAAACCTTAGCACGCAACAACGCCACACGCATGGATTCAATCAAACGCCATAGACATAGATGCGTGTGAACACACTTGATCATTACCTGACCATTGTTAAGCCCGTAGGCGCCGATAACTCTATGCTGCATCATGCGCGGAACCATGATCGAGTTCGTCACTATCTCCAAAGAGAACTTTCACGACGCACTCCGTAGCACGCAAGATGGCGCCGGTCTGGATCTCGCTTGAGTCGCCGGTGACTCCTTCAGGCTGGCTGTCTAATTTCTCCATCAACATAGTATGAAATAGCTTTTTACACTCTTGCTCGACTTTCCGGCCAGGAGCCCCGTCGGAGGTGATGCTCGAAATGCTGATCCCGGGGACAAGCTGGGGTTCGCTTGACCATTCGTCGATTCTCAACTCACAGGAGAGGAGCAGACTCAGGCGTCTGGCCTTCGATTCAAAGAGTATAGACGTTCGCTCGAGGTGAGGCAGAATGCGTCGCAGATCAGGCGTGCTTTGCTTGTCGGAGCCCGGTGGTGGGGAGGCACTGGGCCTCCTATGGCCAGGGATCAAATCTGCATGTTGCTCCTCCATCTGTGACCACAGTTGTGCCCGTGATATCACAGCTTCCCAGTACCGATTGATTCCCCAGCAAAGTCCCGTGACGTCAAGTCTCAGGAGCGGGTTGGCGAGTCGGATCTCCGTCCAATGCTGTAAGGATGCGGGCATTCCGGCCTTGGCGGTTTGAATTGCAGTTGATACTCTTATTGAGACCAGGGTTTGTGTCTGTGGATTGGCGTCATACGTAACGGCTACATTTAAGCGATTGGAAGGGAACGGATGCGGCGCGGTAAAAGTTAAAACATGTCTCTCCAGGGGGGGCTCAGTTGTGGTTGCTGGGACAAGCTCTGAGAATGCGGTAAGGCCCAAGGGTGCGAAAGCTGTGAGATAAGGTTTCTTGTGGGCATGTTCGTCCAGCGCAAACGGATTGATCGGTAGTGTATCTTCAGTCGGTGGTGGGGGGGCCTTCGTAGCGAACGGAAGCAAAGCCGAGATAAGAGACGAAATCGATGCCGCGGTTGGTCGAGGACCAGATGGCGCTGTTTCTGTGGGGTGAGCGGATGATAGCAGGGTACTAGAACCGGTCAGTGATGCTCTTGCAGCCATTGTCAGGAGGAGCATACATTAACTTTGATAAGTCACGTTCGGTGTGTTCATCGCCCTGGCTCAACTCCTTTGACCAATCTTCCAATTCGGCAATTTCCTTCTTGAGTTGTTCTATCTCGTCAGAGAGCTCATTCCTCAGCTTTCGCTTTTTCAGGATGTGCTCCGGGAACGACTCCCAATCCATGGTCGGTCCCGATTCCGTCATGTCGTCCGCCTCTCCATAGTTGACGCTCCTCAATCTCGATGGCGTCTGCTCAGGATTGTCCGTCGTTCGTCGTCTCCCCCATTTTGCTTGTTGTGAACTAGGGCTGCTGCTCAAAAGCCCCTTTGAGCGTCCCGGTGGCGGTTCCAGCCCCAGTTGTGTCGGTGTCGGCGGAAGATCTGGCTCTTCGAGTATCTCCTGTAAAGAAGGCTGACTGAGGTCCCCGGTGACGTCCAAATCCCCGGTTACGCTACCCAGCTCCGATGTCAGTTGGTCATCTGGCGTGTTGATGTGTCGCGGCTCCTCGATACTCCGCTGCGTCGAAGCGGGGGACCCAAAAGCCAAATCAGAGGCGCTTATTCGAGTAGAGACTCGCCTCGGGGGTGCAGCAAAGACATTGAGCCCGCCGGATAGTCGCGGCGACGGCTTCGTCTTCTTGGGAGGCTGTAGTGGACTGCCAGACGAAGTCAATGATGGTCTGAGAGCCTTTCGGTCTCTCAAGCCGACAGCCCGCGCATCCGCCTTAGTCGGTTTGGGTGGGCTTCGCACGGGCGATCTGCTCAGCGCGCGTTCGAGGAGAGTGGGATGTGCTCTTGCTAAGCTGGCTCTTGTCGATGCCTGGAACGAGGCACGCTCGTTCGTTTGTGGTTGCGCGACATTCGGTGGAGGAGGGGGATTGCTCATTTGCGACGTGCTGACACCAACAGCTACTGGATTGCTCCGCACAGGTGTCTCTCGGGGTGCGATACAAGCGCTGAAATAACCACCCTTTCTGGTATTTATCGATGCTGTGGAAAGGAACAAGAAAAAAGTCTGCGTGTAAGAAACGAACCGAGCTGAAGGTAGATTGAACCGGTGTTTACATGCGCCCAGTCCGGCGGGCGGACGGTAAACCAAGCGATTGTCGGGAAAAAGCTGTTTGCACTGTTTGCCTGCATACAATCGATTCGACTGAAGGGACCTTATGACATAACCGACCGCATCGGCGATCCTCGAGTTCCTCTTTCTGCCTGCTTTTCTTTCCCCTCCTCCGTCGACACACCAGAACAAATGGAATGCCCCTTCCTGACTCTCGCGCCATCCCTCGCGCGAACAACAACAACAACAGCAGCAGCAGCAGCAATCCGCAGCAGTAGCAGCAATAATATACGTGGATTGCCCCAAATTGCGCCTTTCATAATCAGACAACAACATGCGTTCTCCTTCTCCGCTCGCCGCTTAGCCACGCATGACAATGCCGCCGCTCTGCGCAACGGAATGGTCAAGGCAGGCGAGAACGGCACTACGCAAGCGCAACCACTTGCCGGCTACTACCACGATATTCTCTCGACCCGCTCCCCCTACGACCGGCAGACCGTTCCTCCCCGGCTACAATCCCGCGAGCCAGCCGAGGAACCGGTCCCCCCAACGAAGAAGCCCCAGACACCGGAGGAGAAAATGGCCATAGTCTTCGGGACCCGTCTCGCAGGCCCCGGCCGAGCCTCGCGCTACGACCCCGGGGCCGCGCCGGACGCGACCTGGAGAACCGTGAACGGGGTCGCGATCCCCCCGCGTCCGGAGGAACCCGACAACTGCTGCATGAGCGGCTGCGTTCACTGCGTGTGGGACGACTATCGGGACGAGTTGGAAGAATGGGCCGCGCGGCTTGCGCAGGCGAAGGCAAAGGGCTCGCCCGCAACAAGCGACGGCAAGGACCAGCGCCAGACGCCGAGGTCCGAGGTCAACGCCGCCAGCGGCAGTATGGACGACGACGGCGGGGGCAGTGAAACGAAATGGACGCTGCCGGATCCCAATGAGGATCTGTTTGCCAATATCCCCGTCGGGATCCGGGAGTTCATGAAGACGGAGAAGAAGTTGAAGCGAAAACACCAAGAGGAAGCCCACACGTGAGACAATTGATGAAAGACTTTTTACGCCTCTCCCGATCCCTCCCTCTTCCTTTAGACGATGATTATACCCTGTCTCCCATGGTTTTGTGTGCGTGTGTGTGCGTGTGCGTGTGTTTGTGTATATATATTAAGTATATAGATGTTTTTAGAGCCTTCCGGACGTGCGTGAGGTGTATATAAACCACTATGGTAGTAACAAGATGATCCTTCAATAAAATTCCTTGACGCATAGTATCAGTAACTGCGATATCACCCCAAACATACAGTCCACGGTACATGCGCAAACCGACAATAATTTACTCTACATAGAGCATGCAAAAACATACTTCAATTCTGCAGTATAAAGGAATCCCAACTCAATCAAACCTTATCACCAAAAGATTGAAAAGCGGTGAAGAACCCCCAGTCCCCCAATATGGGTTCTGCCCGAATCTGCCGCCTCGCTATCGCAAAAAAAAGTTCAATATGAATTAAACGCAGCTCTCTCGGAAAATCAAACCCAGAAGGGCACCCTCATTGACCTTACGAGCCGAATAATCAGATCAGAAACACTCTTCCCAGGATGTCAATATCACAATTGGAAACAGACATCATCCTCAACAAGGCCAATGTCGCACTGGCCCGTAGCCAGCGGCTTGTCGCATCATGGCTCCCAGCTCCGACGGCGGAGGACCAAGCCAATGTGAAATCCGAAGAGGAGTTGCAGCGCGAAGAGGATGAGATATTCACGGCGGTCCCAGAAACGTAAACGAACCCCTTCCCCAGCCAAAATACCGTTGACTTGAGAAAACGTGTTTCCTCTCGCGAGGTATATCTTGGTTCGTGTCGCTGACCTCTTGATTCTGGGCGGGGAGAATTACAGGCTCGGAGTTGGAGCGCCTTTGCCGACGAAAGCCGCGGATGGAAGTTGGAATCGCACGGAATTGGACTCAAATGACAAATTACGGAAACAGCTTCTCGGTCGCAATTATCAGAAAGTCATGGCGGCCAAGGCCAAT